AAATTCCTTGAAATAATAATTTCTGAATATTTTTTAAAACGTACCTCGCTATGGAAAAAAATATTGTTTTATACAAGACGATAAAATTGCATTTTCGTCTCCCGAAATTAATTAATCTTTTCGGTCAACGATAAAATGCCATTTTATCGTCTAAAAAATAACTATTGAACCTTTTTTGACCATGGACAAAGTATTTTACTTGTTATGTGGGTGTAATAAATAGAATTGTTGAGACATGAAACAAGGAAAGTACATATTTTTAAGCGACCACAATTTGGCAGTACTTATCTAAATATCAGACGAAATGCCAAGGAGAGCAAGGTTTCTTGGTGAAGTAGCTGTAGGCGACTTGAGCTAAAAAATCCGTACAATAAACGTAATAGGTACAAATTCGAATATGAATGTCGAGAATTGAGATTTAAATTGAGAACATAATAATTAGTAATAGAGAGAGCCAATAAAAAAAACTTTGTAAAGGCATTCATTATTATGTTGTCAAGAAACACTACAATGATGTTTTAACTTTATTTTATTAGTTTTATTTCTTCTTTAGTGTTTCTGTAAATTAGATTATTGTAGTAGGCCACTGCCTGAGAATAATATAACGAAAGAGACTATTACGAAAATTAGTTACCTAACCATACCAAACCACTTTAACAGGTTTTACCCCATAATTCAAATTAATTGGACATTACTAAAACTTTGTCAGAAACCATGTTAGCATCATCAGCAGATGATTAAAACATTTTTATTTACGTTTAGGTGATGCTAATATGGTTAGCGAAACGCGCTTCTAGTGCAAAAGTAAAGTGTTTTGGTGTATTGTGGCGAATTATTTTTTTATTACTTCACAAAAAATCGAATCTACAACAGCTCAAAAAATTAAAAAAGGAGGACGCAGAATGGGGTTAAAAATGAACATGACAAAAACAGAACATCTAAAAATGGCAGAGGATGGACAAGTAGACTGGAACTAGGAGCAGACATAGAACACAACAAGGGCAGAAATGTATCTGAAAAGACTCAGATTTTGCCGGTCTAAATTCAGTACTTTGGTCGAATAAAATAAAATTAAAAACAAAAATGACAATCTGCAAATCGATAGCAGAGCATATTTTATCGTATGGGTCAGAATGCTGATGGCAATTGAAAAAAAAGCAGAAAATAATTTGTTGAGAAGAGCGTGTAAGATATCAATAACAGAACATATTCGAAATGAAGATTAAGACTGAATCAAAACGGGGAACATATACACACCTATAGATAACATAGAAACAAGACAACTTGTCTGGTATAGACCCGTGATGAGAGCTCTGGGAAGATCGATGGCCAAAAAGAGCTATAGAATATTCCCCTAGAAATCGAAGAAGAAGCGGTTGTTTGACCAAGATGCGGTTGTTTGGTTCGATTAGTCGATGCAATGTCGGTTTTTGAGCAAACCATCAAGAGAAATATCCCGAACACATTGGAAAATTTTCCAGACTAACAAATTGCATTAAAGTATTAAATTATTCTGGGTTCCAGGCCACAGCAACATTAAAGGCAACAAAAAAACCGATGAGCTAGCTAGGCAAAGACCATCGGCATCCTATCTTGGTTCAGAGCCAGTACTGGGGGTACCCAAATGTATGGCCCGTAGTGCACTAAAACTCTGGATCAGGAAAAAGCAGAATGTCCACTGGAGAAACAGACAGGGGCACAGGCACATCAAGGCCTTTACCTAACTCTAAAACCGCACATTAGAACTGCTAATGCTTAACAGGAATAAAGTGCGGATTACAACAGGCCTCTTGACATGACACATGGCTGTCAAGTGTTACCTGAACAAGCTCAGCAAATATCAAGAAAGTCTTTGCTGCAGACTCTGCAGTAAAGATCCTGAAACAGTGGAGCACATAATATGTCAATGCGAGGCTCTGGATGGCAAACGACACTTTTTATTTGGGAAAACTAGGCTAGAACCGGAGGAACTATTCTTCCATCCTATCAAGGACCTACATAAGTTAGTGCATGGCTCAGGGATAGGAGAATGGGTGCAGATATAGAAAGGGGACAAACACAATAGGCCTCACAGGTCGCAGTGTTTCCGGCAGAAGAAGGCCCCTTGTTATTGGAAGAAAAAAAAACGAATTGCATTGACGAACCGAATCGACGAACTGCATCAGCAAGTAGTGAGTATGGGGTTTAATCGAATCTGGTTACTGACCAATAGCAACATTACGCAAACCCACGTTCCAAATAAAATTTCAAGAATATTATCGATTCAATTTTGATTTTCTATAAAATCTCGACGGTCGATATAAGATATTATCATGCCTAACTGAATCTGGTCACTGACCAATGGCAACGTTACGCAAACCCAAACGCCACAAGACATCTGCGAATTCTAAACCATATATACACGGTCGGCTGGTTGCGATTTTCAAACGGCATCGACCAGATCGAAACAGCCTTTGGGGGCAAAATAAAAGGAGAAAAATGGCGCGGCGGCAAGGTCGATCGCAGATCCAGTTTCGCATAAAAACAAAAGTGAACGGCTTTACGTACTTTCTCGTTTCGGGCCGAACGAACCATATCGAAGGTGGTACTGCGGCGCAATTCTATTGGTAGCACAGATAGAACGCTTATTGGAACATATGTTCTCGGTTGGGTTTTATTGGGAATTTTATTTTTATGTCTTTAGAAAATGGTAATAAAAAAGGAGTTTGATGACTGGTAAAATCTTAATAAAAACATTTATATACGTTTATTTTTCATTTTGTCCTTTACTCCTACGTGGAGCATAGAGCTTCAATAAATGCTCTCCGGCGGGTTTGGTTATTGGCAGTTGATTTGACATCTCGCCATGATCGGTTTACTGCTTCGATCTCCTTTTTAATTGTCCTTTGCCATGTATATCTTGGACGACCAGTTCTTCTACTGCCTTGTGGATAGCCACCACATATGATTTAAAAATTGTATATTTTAGGTAATTTTATTGTCATTAAAACATATTTTTTTTTTAAATCAAATGATGCGTCTAGAACTTAGCATACAAACGGATTTAAGTTTTGCATATTTGCTTATAAATGATTATAATACATATTTCTGAATTTAACAAATAACATAGACAAGGTGTTTTAAGAAGTCAACGAATTTACATTAATCTATCATTTAGGTATATAACGTCATTTTTTGTTAGTCTGTTTTGTTGTTAGAATTTTTTTAGAATTTAGAATTTAGAATGAGTGGGAGGGGGGTTAATCACTTCGACCTTACAGATCCATTGTGTCCCCCTTTCTTGAATCATAACTCATCATACAGTCCCAGGGCTTTGACAAAAGCCAGTATCTGGGACGGTTTTATAGAGGGTAGTTCTCCATCTCCAATATCAGTAGTACCAAAATTCATGGCACGAATGGTTGTCGTCTCGGCGCACTCAGTGATGAGGTGTACTGGTGTTTCACCATCTTCCCCACAGAATCTGCATTCGCCGTTTCTTCTTAGTTTCAATCTACTGAGGTGTTCATTGAGGAGACAGTGTCCTGTTAAAACCCCGTGACAATCCGAAGATTGTTCTTACTCAGACCCAGGAAGATCTGTGATTTTTTCTTGATCATAAGCCCTCAGAAACTTCTTCGAGTGTCTTAGACCATTGCAAGATTTCCATTCCAGGTTGCGGATGGAATCTTCCAAGTTCTTGAGTTCCGCCTTGAGTTGGTTACCACTTGGAAAGCAGAACGGTTCTGGTCCAGTTAGTGGAGTGTTCGCTCCTTTCCTAGCTAGATTATTTGCTTTTTCATTGCCTTCTATCCCTTAGTGAGCAGGCACCCAGTGTAGGAGGACTTTGTTTTCTTTGCCTAATTTATTCAGCTTCTCTATGCATTCTTTGACCAATTTCGAATTGATTGATACTGAGTTGATCGCCTTTAACGCTGCTTGACTATCAGATAAGATGGCTATTTCTTGTTTCCGATAGTTCCAATCTAAGATAAGTTGTACGCATCTCTCGATAGCGTAGATTTCTGCCTGTAGGATACTAGGATAAGTGCCCATTGGTTCGGAGTAATTAGCTCTCGGCCCAAACACTCCGATCCCTGTTCCCGTATTGGTTTTGGAAGCATCAGTATACCAAGTTATGGTATGGTCTTTTAACTGCTGGGCAAGCGTTTCGCTCTTCCAATCCTTCTTATTGCTCAATACTACATTGACATGTTTGTAAAAGTTGTACGTTCTTGGCATATCGTCCATTGTTGTAAGTTAACAAGAATGTTAGTTTATATGCACATATTATATGTTAATAACTATAATTACTACTATATGCATATTTATCTCCTATATTAATAATATTATTATTTAAAAATAATGTGTATACAGGGTGTCCCAGGCTGAGCGTGCATTAGAAGTTTCTAGAGAACTACAATATCTAGATCGGAGATTTTTTGTTTTACGAGATCTATCGATTAAAAATATTTTCAATGTGGCGGCACTTCCAATACCGGAAGTTGACAGCAACTTTCTTATTTTAAATAGGTTCTCCATTTTTTATTACATACTTAAATTCTCTGTAAAATTCTATGAGTTTTGATATAAACAATCTATACTTAACATTAACCGTTTCTGAGAAAAAAATATTTGAAATTTTTAAAGACTGCCTGACAAAAAAAATTGTATAGCCTAAACGTCAAATTTAGTGATTACCACAGCCACTGTGACTTAAAGAGAAGATATGTGACTATCTATTTCAAAAATTTAATTGTTCGAATGTCATATAATATTGGTCGTAGCTGTCAAACACAAATCATTTACTTCAAATGGAAACCCACTTTTTTCACTAGTGAAAAGATTTTCAATTTGTTACTTTTTGACTATACATGTTCCTAGACCTAAAATATATCGTTTTTACGTTATTAACAGACAATAACTGTCACTGTCACATATTCTTTTACTGGACAAAGTATTCCCACTCTAATTACATCCAAGAAAATATAGCTAATTGTTTTATTTTTTCTTTGTTTCAGTGTTAGAACTGTGCAAGAAACCAAAGGATGGGACGTGTTCAGGGACCCTCCCATCAAGGAGGAGTCTGGATCGATGGCAAACCAAAAATGTTTAGAAATTACCGTAAAATGTCTAAAAGTAGTAGCATATTTAGTCACATTTATTATAGTCTTAGCGTCTGGTGTTATATCGAAAGGAACCCTATTATTTATGACCTCGCAATTAAAACCAGACAAAGTCGTACCATATTGTAATAAAGATTTAGGTAAGTAAAGTTGGTACATATATAAATATGATTACAGGAATCTAAATTGGAATTTACCTGGTAGAGCCCAATTTTTACTTAAACTAACTAATGTAATTTAAATCAGATTAAAACTTGGCCCAAAAAGTTATACAGGGTGAGACAAAATTAATATTGAACATTGGTCACCTTTAAAAGCAATTTACTCTTTTATTTGGAATGGAACACCCAGTATATTATTCCGATATTTAGTGGGAAATTCGTGTCGCTTCAAAATACTATTAGGTTTGTCTACCCCTCAAACAAGGATTTTTCTAGATATTTTCATTTTTATGATTTAGTGTCTAGATCTTTATTATTTGCTAAAATCAAGGTGGCTGTGATAAGCCTCACGTTACTTCAATATAACTGTCAAATTAATTCAACTTCAATAACTAGTTATCATTTTGTGTAATTTAAAATAAAAAAAGTCTCAGAAATTTGCCGAAAATGGAAACTTATCATATATCAGACAGAACTCTATTGATAGAAGAGTAGAGATAGAGACTAGATGATAAAACTACTGTTGAGGTAACAAATGATTATATTAAAAGTGTTCTTGTTGTTGATTTACAGGTAGAGAAAAACAATTTATAGTAAAAATACCGACGCAGGAACGAGTAGCATGGATGTGGTGCCTGTTTTTCGCGTTTTGTGTGCCTCACCTGGGAGCGCTGTTCAGATCGACGAGAATGTGCTACTTCAAGTCGTCAAAAAGGCCGAAATTTTCACATTTTCTCATGCTGTTCCTACCCGAAACAGCCCATACCATCGGATTGGCTCTTTTGTTCTTCCATGTTCTGCCAGACATCGATGTGGTCAAAGGAGCCATGTTAACGAATTGCTTATGTTTCATGCCAGCAGTTTTAGGTAATGTATATCAATATAATATGCAGAAGAAAAAAAAAACATTACACAACAAAGACATTTATGTGTATGTAGACAACATATTCTATACCGGGTGCGTCTCAAAAGTGGCTCACCCCTATAACTTTTTTATTTTTTCAGATAAAAAAACGAGATTTGGTATGTTAGTATATGACATAAATTAAGATTGAGTGACGTAATCAATTGTTTTCGGTCATTTCCGGTCTCACCGGAAATGACTACAACTTTTGATTTTTAAATGGCACCATCCGTATTTTTTACTTTATTCGATAGAAAATGACCCTCTAAAGAAAATGACAGATATCATACGTTAACTTTTGACATTGTTGCATATGGTATTTGAAATTGTAAAATACGGTTCATAACGACAATTTGACTCGAAATACCAAAAGTGTGGTACCAAATTATTCGTAAAAAATTCATTTTCCAAATATGCCAAAGAGCAACTCTCATTCCATTTGAAAAAAAAAGATATATGATTAAATATACAATCTCAGCACATTTTAACAGGCCAGGACAAGACACTAAAACCATGAGACAATCAAATCTATTTTTCCAAGGCTCCTTGATTAAAAATTAGTGTTGTGGGTTTAAAACACCCATGAATAGAAATTTAAAATACGATGTTTTTTAAAGCGAATATGCCAAAAGTTGACATATGATATGTCATTCTATTCAGAGTGTCATTTTCTATCGAATAAAGTACAAAAATACCGAGGGTGCCATTTAAGAATTAAAAGTTTTTTGATTTTTAAATGGCTCCCATTTTGAAAAGCCTTTGGTGTCCAATCAGAAGAAACATGAATAATTGGCGACAAAATTAAATAAATATTTTTAGGAATTGTTTTTAAATTGTCTACGTAAAGCTCTTATACACCATTCTTATTACAAAATAGCTTGGTCAAAATCAAGTACTTCTCTCAACTAAAATTTGATTCTTTGTAACTGATCATCATTATTCTGAACATACTTTACCTTAAAGAGATTTCCTTCATTTTGAAAAAAAAGCGAAAAACGCAACAAAAATGCCTAAATTTAAGGAAGCCGTTTTTATAGGAAATAATAATAATATCTTTAGTTTAACAATTTAAGTACTAGAATTTCATCTTATGTGTAAAATTCATAACAGCGTACCACACCTTAACTATTATTTCTTTGTTTGTTCATATCATGTAGTTATGAATGTGACATATATAAATTGCAATTTTAACAGGATATAATTAATTCAAAGGTATAATAAATAATATACAGTATGTCCCCGGATTGTTGTTACAAGAGGAAAAACCTTTTTATAACTGAAATTTTGAGAAAAATGCTTTCTTCACAAAAAATTTTGCTTGTTCCCAAATGGTGAATTCCGTTTTGTACTTTCCAAATTTCCATACAGTTTTAGAGAAAATTAAAAAAACGCGAAATGGTTGATTTTTTTCTAGGTCCTAAAAATCAAGAATCTATTGAAATATAATTTCGTTTTTATTCTTTGACAGGTGGTTATGATTTGGTTATGATTAATTTTGATTAACGTTATATTTTTGACTGTGGTTATAGTGTCACATTTTTCGATAAATATTATCACCCTTACCATAGTATTGAACTAAATAAATTTTGTACTACTTTAACATCTTAAAACAGCAAAAATATGTTAATTAAAATTCTATCAATAACAATATATCAAAGAATGAAAACGAATATATATTACCATAGAAACACGTTTATGGTTTTTACAACTTAGAAAAGATTCAACTATAATTTCTAATTATAGTTTCTAATTGCACGTTTTGTTATATCAATCTAATTAGTTCACAAAATAAAGCTGTATGGGTTATACAAAATTAATGTGAACATGAATTACAAAATTACATGAATCGCTTATTTAGTTTATAATATATCAAAATTAATTTCCTTTCTTATTATATAAAAATATTCTTAAAATGTGACCCATTTCTAGGTCTTCTATCCCGAAACAACAAAGAATCAGGAAGATTCATAAAAGTGATCATGGACATGATAGCCATCGCAGCACAAGCCACCGGTTTCATCGTATGGCCCATCGTGGAAAACCGAGCGGATCTCTGGATCATTCCAGTAACGATATTCCTCATCTCCATCGGCTGGTGGGAGAACTACATTTCCAAGCATTCCCCCATACCTTTCATCAAAAAACTGGGCAAGATCAAGGACTCCTTCGACCAGACCAGATATTTCAGTTACATGTTCATCTCCGTTTGGAAAATACTAGTGTTTTTCGTGACCATCCTGTTTATCATATTGATCAGGGAAGGAGAGGTGGCGTTTTTCTTTACGGAGTTCTCGGAGAGCTTCAACGTTCACCCGATCACGGTGCTAGAGGTAAGATAAATAGGCATTTAACTCGGCGTGACAGTTCGATTAATATCACAACCTTGACAATACAGAATATAATATTACATAGAAAACGTTTGAAATAATGTATTTGATAAGGTTAATACTTTTTCTGGTATTCAAAAGGCACTCATTAATCAGATATGTATAACTATTAGTCAGATTTGATGTTTTTTCTTTTTGAATACCAATTTTTTACACAAACATTTCATCGATTGTCATTTCAAAGCCTCTGTGACGCCCTTTTTTCGTTTATAGAGTACGAATTGTTTTCTTAAAAAAATATTTTAGGAGACAATACTTCATATCATTTAAAATATTAGTTCATTTAATCAAAATTATGGCAAAAAAGTGATTTCAAACCACAGTGTATTCAAAATTGAAAAAAGTGTTAAATGAAAACTTGAATATATTGTTATCAAGCCATAAAAATCATTCGACTTTGCTAGTCAGAAGGTATTAAACGGTAAATAACAATTTATAAAAGAAACACTATAAGGAAAAAAGAAAAATGTTTAAAACAGCTATGAAATTATAGGGAAAAATACTATTCTTACTATCAATGGCTGTTAGTAAACAAAAGCTTGAAAAAAATCACAGAAAAAAATATTGTTCCTCCATAGAAAATCTTAAGATAGATTTCAAAATTAAAATAAAATAAATAAAGCAAATACTGTGAAAAATAAATAAATAATCATTATCCATAATGTTAAAGGTATTATAGTAATTTATATTTACAAATAATTTTATTAATAATAATTCCTTTAAAAATTAGTCTATAGAAACCAACTAGAAATCTCTGATATTTTAGAGTTACATAGAGTAACTACAAATAAATTTACTCAACTTTTTAGTCGGAATTTGTACACAGCAGAATATGGAATACAGGGTGTCCCAGGCTGAGTGTGCATTAGAAGTTTCTAGATAATCACAATATCTGGATCGGAGATTTTTTCCACTTCATTGTATAGTTAAAAAGTAACGAATTGAAAATCCTTTTCACTGGTGAAGAAAAGTGGGTTTCCATTTGAAAAAAATGATTTATAATATTTTTTAGTCGCTCAATACCATGACAGCTGCGGCAATTATTATATAACATTCGAACAATATTTAATTTTTGAAATAGATAGCCACATGTCTTCTCTTTATGGCACAGTGGCTGTGGTAATCACTAAATTTGACGTTTAGGCTATACACATACTTTTGACAGGCCGTTTTTTTCGTCCAAAAATTTTTAAATATTTTTTCTCAAAAACGGTTAATTTTAGATATAAAGTGTTTCATAGAATATCAAAATTCATAAAATTTTACAGAGAATTTAAGTATGTAATAAAAAATGGAAGCACCCATTTAAAATAAGAAAGTTGCTGACAACTTCCGGTATTTCCGGAAAGGCCGCCATATTGAAAATATTTTTAATCGATAGATCTCGTTGTGAAAAAATAATGTACAAAATATCTCCGATCTGGATATTGTAGTTCTCTAGAAACTTCTAAGGCACGCTCAGCCTGGGACGCCCTGTATATTTGTTTATTCAGACTTGAATTTTACATATCAATAATACATAAATAATACTAACGTAATATATAGTATACAGACAATAAATTGACAGGAAACACCAGTTTTGTAGCAATTTTACAACCTAAAGTTTGGACAATATTCAAATTTAAGGTCCCCTAAACAGAAAAGATAATAAATCAAACGCAAAACCGATTTTCGATTCTTTTTTTCGGTAGAAGAACATTATGCTAATGGCTCCATTACTCATTTTCAGATCAAACCCGTCCTGGGTGGCACCGTCCTACCTGACATCTCCGAGATAATCCCCACGGGAGACGACACTGTCATACCATCAAACGACTGGAGCGCCTTATACGTCATGATGATCCACATCCTGGCGTCCTACTTCGTCTACATTTTCGGAAAATTCGCTTGCAAAATCATGATCCAAGGTTTCTCATACGCTTTCCCAGTCAACCTCACCATCCCAGTATGCGTATCACTCTTAATAGCAGCTTGTGGGTTAAGAAACGGAGATCCCTGCTTCTTCCATGAGACCGTTCCAGACTATTTGTTCTACGAAATACCTCCAACGGCATTTTTGAACGATTTCATCTCGCACCAGCATGCTTGGATTTGGTTAGTGTGGCTTTTGTCTCAAACATGGGTCACTTTGCATATCTGGACACCGAAATGCGAGCGTTTGGCTAGGACAGAGAAACTTTTTGTTATCCCGATGTACGAGGGGCTTCTCATCGATCAAAGTATGGGTATGAACAGAAGAAGAGATGATGAGGCTGATGTTAAAACGGAAGATTTGGACGAGATTCAGAAAGAAAAGGCTGACGAGTATTACGAGACTATTTCGAATCATACTGACGGTTCTTCCCCGAAGACTATCAAGAGTTCTGACAACATTACGAGGATCTATGCTTGTGCTACTATGTGGCACGAGAACAAGGAGGAAATGATAGAGTTCTTGAAGTCGATTTTGAGACTGGATGAAGATCAATCTGCTAGAAGGGTGGCGCAGAAGTATTTGAGGGTGGTTGATCCAGATTATTATGAATTTGAAAGTAAGTATATAATAGAAACAATACTGTGTATGTTGGAATCACTATTTTAAAAAGTAAATTTGTTTTATAAAAGTAAATTCTTTATTAAAAATAATCAGTTTAGTGCTGATATAAACCATCATTTATAGAAATTATTGTCTGTGGAGTATCGGAGATTTTTTTTCAAAATTTCAAATGATACTACATTACATTTATGTTCCTGTATTTTATCCTGTATATACAGGGTGATCCGAACTGAATTCCGGAAACTTTGCCAGCATATTCTGCAGGTAAAAATAAATAAAAAAGTTCGTATAAATGTATGTCCGTATACAGGGTGTAGAAGTTTCATTTTTATTTCGATTTGTTCTAAATCATTCCGGAAGTAACGTCAATATTTGGATGAAAATTGGTGTCTAGGAGTTTTTCCACATGAGAAATTTGATTTTGATGTCAATATGACTGCTTGTAGGGAGCGCCACCTACAACATGTGTTTTAACTGTTTTGAAGAGTAATAACTTTTCGTCCCTACCTGTATAAAACTACTGAGTGAAAAAATATACATTTACATGATTTTCCACGTTAAAAATATATCTTAAAAATCGCTACGAGTAATCGTTCTAAAGATATTTAGAATGGAAATAGTCAATACATGTCATTATTAACAAAAAATAAATATGTTGACTAGTTGGTTTAAGGGTTTCAGTCAAATGAAATGATAAATTTGAAACTTACTACCGTATGATCGAAAAAAAATGTCGTCCAGTTAGCAAATTTACATATAAAGTGACAGCGATCTTTATTTCATAACCATCGCTGACGCTGTTTTTTTTTTCGTTTCCAAATCACAAATAGATAAAGTTCGATTCCAAATATCTCGAAAACCATTACTCCAAGCGATTTTTAACAAGAGACCTTTTTTACGTAAAAAACGTCATAAATGTATATTTTTTACACTGTGGTTTTATACAGGTACGGACGAAAACTTATTACTCTTCAAAACAGTTAAAACCTTTGAATAAGAAGACTAAGGAAGGAGCATAATGCTATCCATGTATTCATGCATGGTGGGCGGAAAAAGCGCCATAAAAGCACTCTAGGGTGGGGATTCTTGACAGTTCTGTTTGACGATTCATTTGACACATTTGAATTTGATTTGAAATTTTGTGGATTCGTCAGTCTTTACGGAGCTTATTTTATGTTATTTATTATTTATTCTACTACTGATAGTTGTACAAAGGTAGTAAATCTAGATGGAAATTGTGGCAGCACTTAAATTAACAGTGACACTATCGCGATTTATCGAAAAAGACTCTAAAATAGTTGGCTGTGTAGCGTGCGGTAGATCTCGGCAAAAATTGAGTGAAATAATGGAACAACTTTTCGCTAGTAAGTGACTATATAATATACATACGTGTAGTAAACCGATCATTTATGAAATTCACTTAAATTAACTAAATTATATATTTTTCTTGCATTTTAGCTTTTATTTATTACTTGTCAAAGATTAGATGTCAAAGAATTTAGATACGTTAATTTGACTCATCTGCTTCAGTAGCGTATCGGATGTTTGTGGTAATAAATACTTATTATAACTTACCTATCTATTTTTATTAGAATTATATATTTTTATAACAATTTTAATAACTACCAACATTTATTCACACCGTAAAATAAAACAACAAATTATTGAGTCTACCCCACGTCTACCCTACATCATAGTTTTACATTTTTTAAATAAAATTAGAACGACACTGATAAACCGGAATTTAAATCGGCCATATTTGAGGCCCATCGCGGTGTACCTAAGATTTTTGATATGCTCCTTCCTTAGTCTTCTTATTCAAAGGTTAAAACACATGTAGGTGGTGCCCTCTACAAGTAGGAGTCATATTGATATAAAAGTCAAATTTTTCATGTCAAAGAACTCCCAGACACCGATTTTCATACAAATATCGATATTAGTTCAGAAATTATTTGGAAAAAATCAAAAAAAATTAAACTTCTACACCCTGTATCTCTGAATCGAAGCATTTTAGGACATAGATTTATACGAACTTTTTTACTTATTTTTATCTAGCCGAAGTTTCCGGAATACAGTTCAAACCACCCTGTATAAAACATACATTTAATTGAAAAACTACGGCCTTGTATCTCTTGTAGCTTTTGAAATCCCAATCAAAACACAAATTTGGACACCCTGTACACCACAATACTCTATCGAAAGCCTTAACTGTTCTTCCCCGATCGATCTTATCAACCAAAAAATAACAGTAACCTAACAGTACTACAATGAATCTTGTAAATCACGCCGCCACTCCCCCGGGAAAGACCCAACGCATATTACTTTCATATTTCTCCTGCACAATGATGATTTGACGAAAAATCAATGTAATCTTCTTGACAGCTCATATCTTCTTCGATGACGCGTTCGAGATCGCCGACCACAACGATGACGACACGCAAGTCAACAGGTTCGTTAAACTTTTGGTGGCTACCATAGACGAGGCGGCATCCGATGTGCACCAGACCCATATCAGAGTCAGGCCACCTAAGAAAATACCCACTCCTTACGGAGGTAAGACGACATAAGTACCGTATGATCAAAAATTTAATATTAAGAGAGATTTTGACAGTTAAAGAAATCCACGCCCATATATTATAAAGTCTGTCCAACGAGAAGATCCTTGACAGTGATAGATGTGTCTGTCATTTTAATTTCAAAGTAGTTTATTTTATTTTACAAAGAAATAAGTTGGCACAACTGGAACGCATAGAAGGAAATATTTAAAATTTGGTTGACAAGATGACAAGTGATTATCATAGATAAATGCAACAAGTTTAGATTGGAAAGCCCGTAAAAATTTTAGGTCGCGAAATTAATTTGGGTCGCGACCGTTATACGCGATCTGGCGCTGCTATAGCGGTCGCTAAGAACAACGGCAAACAAAAACAGAAATAATTTTCTCTTGTCAAAGTCAGAATCTTCAAAAATCATAATAATCTTTCAAAATCTAAACCGCTCTCACTAAAGAAATTCCGAAAAGTGTTTATAGCGTCCATTTTCAAAGTAATTATTGCTATCTTGTGAGTTTAATTCAAGTTTTATTTACTCCAACCGGTAATAATTGTGAAAAAGTGGCATTAAAAACTTAAAAAGCTGTGCTGAGAACTGTAAACTGCAAAACCATCGTGGATCGTGGCATAACGTCGGTTTCCAATGTTTCATAGGTATTTAATACATGCGTCCTTATATAAAATAAAGTTTCTTGTATGCAACACACTGTATTTTATTTATAAAATTAAACGAAAATAATAATAAATTTGATTAAACAATATTTGGCGATATAATTCCGGAAAAAGCCGAACCGCTCCGAAATTTTCAAAAGTTTTGGGTCGCGACCGTTGCAAGAATAGCGCCAAATAGTGTTTACATTGTCCTTATAGGCACTTTCCAATCTAAACTTGTTTCATTTATCTATGGTGATTATTTCAAAATATTGTGAAAAAAACTGTATAAAACTGAAAAAATGTAATCGAGTTATTTTATTTAATAAAAACGGTATGTGTTAATACAAAACAAACAAGAACAAGACACTACATACCAAAAAAATATAAAAAAGAACTATTATTTACTTTCAAGCTTTATGAAACTACCCGCATTTTGTAATATTCCACAGGAATAAATAAAACAACATAGGTAAATAAAACAAACTATTTTATTAATAATAACACCTACCAAATTTTATACCTTAAAGGTTGATTAATTAACTTTAATCTTAATTTTTTTAAACCAGTACCTTTTGACATTATTTTTCTGCAGTATTAAAATCCATTATTTACCTATCGTGTGATGTCGATATTTTACAGCTACTCCAGTTTTTAGTATGTGTTTAGTTTGATCCTTCTACCACATACGAGATGCACTTATCTACGACGAGATGGTATACGAACTTTAATGATGGTAACTTTATTGGTGTATAAGACTTTTTACCTGGGCAGCGAGTATTAACCATAAACTGTGCTCTGGGTCTACAGTTAATTTTCAGTCGATTTTTCCTCCACTTGACTTCAAAAGACACAAAACACACGTAATAATACGAATCAAAATGCATCATCTTCCAAAACGCAGGGTATTTTACAAAAGTTGACACAAAATTATAACCTATAATTTGGCAAGACTTTGACAAGCGTCAAAAATGACAAAAATGAAAAAGGCGAGTTCATACGCATCGGCGTCCGTTTGTCGTTCATCATTCCGTCAAACCAATAAAATTGAAATACGATCTGTCATTTTTTAAATAAACCAATAAAACTGGTTAAAAACAACAAGACACGACGCATGACGGATTTATATTTAAACGCATCCATAGATAACCACAGAATAACTACAGAACGATCAGTCAATGTAATAAAAAAGCGAACAAAATTTTTGCTGCCATCTATAGTGGGCCGAGTGCGGCTCAGGGCTTCAAGGTCAAAATAATTATTTATTAAATAAAAAAAGTCGTGTCGGCGGCACGATTCGAACCGGCTACCTTCGTGTTGCTAGACGAGAGCCTTATCCCCTACACCACCAGATATCTTGACGAGAATTATATCTTTATGGTAATAAATTATGAATTCAGCCTGCTACAACGGATATGTAAAATTTATCCTAGAGGCTGCTTATACTTTGAAAATTCATCTCGTTGCAGTTCATCACAGTTGTATAATTCAAGAAGCACTAAGAAATATGACACCTTTGAATAATATAATATGAAAAAGTTGGAGTCGGAATACAATAAAAAGCACGAGAAATACATTTTGTATTAAAAACAAAATAAAGGCAGCTTAAATATAGTTTGAAGCATAAATAAAGGAGTATTTGAAGTACTGTGTGGATGGAAGAGGGAAATTAATCGCAAAATTCATAAAATGAATTTAAAGACCGAGCCAATCGTAACGTTTGAAGCAACCATACATACACGAAGAACTGTTCTGCAACCATATATACACGACGTAAATTAGCACCATCTATAGTGGGCCGAATCGTCAATTTGTAATTTAATGCTCCATAAGAGTGACTGAGCCCTGTAGATAACTTAAAAATTATTAGAAACTTTTTTTAGTAAAATAAATAGATTGGTATGGGACGTCATCTGCTTTTCTTCTGTCATCGTCTGTCGAAATCTTACCTGAGAAAAAAAACAGAGTTATACACATGGCCAAAATTATTGCATACAGGGTTGTTCACCACATACGACACGGAATATTGTAGCTAAACGATTAGATTTTTACAAATTGTAAGTTTTGGGTTCGTTGAAGGACTATTAGAGCTACAATTTAAAAATATTTTTACAAGATACAGAGTGTCCCAAATAAATAAAAAATATCAAAGTTGTATTTTTTTAAATGGAACACCCTGTATATTATTACATTTTTAGTTTCTGCGATTAAAATAAAGGTGAATTTGATTAAGGTTTATTACACTTAAACCTTACCGTTTTTGAAATATTTTCAATTTTGTGAAATTGCAGTATAAAGTTTAAGGCTTCATTTCTCCGAGGGTGTCAAAGTTTTTAATACTAAATATTTACAGAAGTTTATTAATTGATCAGTTATTGTGTTGCAATAATAAAAATTTTACTACGTTATACAGAGTGTCTAAATATTTATTTTAAATAATTATTAGCTTTAAACGGCAATAACTTGTTTAATTTAAATGGAACAGCCTGTATATTTTATGAGAATCAGATGCACAATTTAATTTTGTATCAAATTGTATTATACCATTTTTACCTATCTCTTCAAGTTTCCGTAGAAAATGCATTTTCTTGTAATTTAGAACTCATTTATCAATATACCCATGGACTATTGACATTTTAGATTATTTTTAAAGATGTACCAAATTTTTAAAGAGTACAGATACTAATATTGTCGATATAATTCGTTTATTTCATTAAAAAATAAAAAAAAACTGTTTAAATATTTGTTAAAGAGGGTCAATTAATATGATTCCAGTATTCAAACCACATTAACTGACTGTTTGCGTTGATTAATAATAATTGCTCCAAATACTAAAAAACTGAATTTTGTATGGGCATTAGACAGTGTGATAAAAAGTAACACCTTAAAAATGATATTTCATTTTTTAATAAATGCTTATTTATAACTACAGAGACTTTAATTTGATAACTTATTATTATATTGATTTCTGACTCAAATCCACATTTATTTATAATAATTTAATAACGAACACAATTAAGTATGTAATTAATTAGTATATGGGCGCAAATAATGGTGTTATATTTAATTAATGGTATACTCTTTTATAAAGATTTAAATAGTTTTCTTTTTGCATACAAATGGGCTAGTAATATTATCGTTTTGCTAAAAACGATAATATTACTAGTCTGTACATTTTGTACATTTGTTGCTTTAAAAACAATCTAAAATGTCAATATTCCATAGATATATTGATAAATGAGGTCTAAATTATAAGAAAATGCATTTTATACGAAAACTTGAAGGGATAGGTAAAAAATGGTATAATACAATTTGATAGACAATTTAATTGTGCATCTGATTCTCCTAAAATATACAGGGCATTCCATTTAAATTAAAGAAGTTATTGCCGTTTGAAGCTAATAATTATTTAAAATAAATTTTTAGACACTCTGTATAAGGTAGTATTATTTTTATTATTGCAACACAATAACTGATCAATAAATAAACTTCATTAAATATTTAGTATTAAAACATTGATACCCTTGGAGAAATGAAGCTTTTAAAAATTTTACTGCAATTTCAAAGAATTGAAAAATATTTCAAAAACGGTAAGGTTTAAGTATAATAAAACTTAATCAAATTTACCTTTATTTTAATCGTAGAAACTAAAAATGTAATAATATACAGGGTGTTCCATTTAAAAAAATACAACTTTGATATTTTTTATTTATTTGGGACACTCTGTATCTTGTAAAAATATTTTTAAATTGTAGCTCTAATAGTCCTTCAACGAACCCCAAACTTACAATTTGTAAAAATCTCATCGTTTAGCTACAATACTCCGTGTCGTATGTGGTGAACAACCCTGTATATATTTCCAGATTGTTTATGCAACATCATTTTTATATTGTTTAATCGCTATTTCTTTATGTATAACGATAAATTTAATAAAAACTGAGAAACGCCTACCACACAATACCTTCAGAAATCAATTAGGTATTTGTCATTGCCAGAAGTGCGAATTATAACGTTCCAAAAAATCTTATATCTTAGAAAAGAATCTAAAAAAATCATCAAAATACGATGATATTGTCCTTTTTTCTAATTATATTGCCTGATTTATTAAAGCAATATCGTTACAAAAATAAAACACTGACATGACAATTGAGAAATAAATCACTTTTAACGGAAATTTTATGAGCATGACTGTATAGTATGAATATAATATTCGTAGGTCGTCTCATTTGGCAACTGCCGGGAAAAACCAAGATGATCGCCCACCTGAAGGACAAAATGAAGATCAGACACAGGAAACGATGGTCCCAAGTGATGTACATGTACTATCTTTTGGGACACCGTCTCATGGAATTACCCATTTCAGTAGACAGAAAAGAAGCCATAGCCGAAAATACCTATTTGTTGACTCTTGATGGCGATATTGATTTTCAGCCATCCGCTGTACTGTTGCTTATCGATTTGATGAAGAAAAATAAGAATCTAGGTAAAGAACTTGTGGGAAATATTGTGAATATCTATTAGATACTAAAATAAGCAAAATTTGTTGTTTCTGTAATATTTTTATGACGATTGGCAACATATGCCAATCTATAGTTTATTATAACTAATTAAAAATTTTTCTGTATTTTATATTTGTACTAGCGTGTACCCGCGACTTCGTTCGCGTCGAATTAATCATTTGTAATGGTGATGATAAAACAAAGCAAGAATTTCCATTAAACTGGATAAAATGTTCTCACATTTATGTCAGCATGAGAAAATACAATATGGCGATATTATTATATTAACTTCTAACTATTCATCTCGTTGGAATTTGACTTTCGAAAAATCCGTTTGCCAAAAATAAGCTTTTTACGTCAAGCAGTTTAATCAGAATCGTGGTTAATCAATTGCCCAACTTTTTGGAACACCCTGTATGATTTTTAAAAAAAAATCAAAATATGTAAAAAAACAAATTAAATTATGCGTGTCCAAGCGTTTTCCCGAAAGATTAACCGTTTTTAAATAACAAATATTGTAATATTTGAGGGGCGTTTTCACCCTCTTGGAGTTTCATATTCGAGAAACCCCTCCTTATCAAACCTCTACACCCCACTGTCAATACGTTTGCCAAAAATCAGCTTTAAACGTCAAGGAGTTTAGGCAGAATCGTGATTACTCAATGGTCATATTTTATGAAACACCCTGTATAAATTTTTAAAAAATCTTAAAATATGTAAAACAACAAAATAAAATATACGTGTTTAAGAGTTTTTCCGAAAAACTCACCGGTTTTTAAATAAAAAATATTCTAATATTTGAGGGGTGGTTTCACCCCCTTAGAATTCGAGTTTCGTAAAATCTCTTCTTATCGAACCTCTACACACTAAAGTCAATCCGTTTTCCAAAAATCAGCTTTTTACGTCAAGCGCTTTAAGCAGGATCGTGATTAATCAATGACCAGATTTTTCGAAATACCCTGTATACATTTTTAAACAATCTTAAAATATGTAAAAAACAAAATAAAATATATGCGTTTAAGCGTTTTTTCGGAAACTTGACCGTTTTATAAATAAAAAATATTGTAATATTTGAGGGGTGGTTTCACCCCCTTGGAACTGGAATTTCGAAAAATCCCTTCTTATCGAACCTCTACACCCTAGAATCAACCGGTATGCCAAAATTGAGCTTCTTACGTTGAGTGGTTTGAGCACGATCGTGATTAATCAGTGAGTCAGTCACTTAAGGATTTTATATAATAGTATAGACAACGTTTTTTTATGTCTGGAGCATGTTTAGTTTTATCAAACAGTAGCAAAGTAAACCACATCTTTGTAAGTAAAAAACGAGAAACCCTGTAAACAAAATGGTACACCCTGTACAACTGATTAATATTATTTATATAAATCCTTTTAGGAGCTGCCTGTGGTCGTATCCACCCTGTAGGTTCCGGTCCCATGGTGTGGTACCAACTCTTCGAATATGCTATTGGTCATTGGCTGCAAAAAGCTACTGAACACGTCATTGGCTGTGTACTTTGTAGTCCTGGATGTTTCTCTCTCTTCAGAGGAAAGGCTTTGATGGACGACAATGTCATGAAGAAATACACCACATGGTAAAAGACTTTATAAGCAAAAAGTATTTTGTACTAAAATAACTGTCATTTCAGTTCTGCAGAGGCTAGGCATTACGTGCAATACGATCAGGGAGAAGATCGTTGGTTATGTACGTTACTTCTGCAAAGAGGATATCGTGTAGAGTATTCTGCTGCATCTGATGCTTATACTCATGCTCCTGAAGGTTTCAATGAATTCTACAATCAACGTCGAAGATGGGTAAGTTAGGTTTCACCAATTCATTATTGTCGAAGAAACTATACATTTGATTTGACGTATATTACACCTATCTCTAAATATTATATAGAAAATAAAGTAAACAGAGTAATGATTTTGATTTCTAGGTACCTTCCACTATTGCCAACATCATGGACTTGCTCATGGACTCGAAAAGAACCATCGACGTCAACGACAACATTTCCATGCCCTACATCGGCTACCAAATTCTTCTTATGGGAGGTACCATCCTTGGACCCGGTACTATATTCCTTATGTTGGTGGGTGCTTTCGTGGCCGCTTTCCAAATCGATAACTGGACTAGCTTCTACTACAACTTGTATCCCATTTTGTTCTTTATGTTGGTGTGCTTCACTTGCAAGTCAAACATACAGGTAAGAGTACCTATGATTTTGGTGTATCGTGATATTTGTGAACGTGATTTGTTGTTGTAACACTAAAGACTTTAATTTATTTTGGTATCTCAATAAAAAATCAACAAAAAATCACACTTTAAACTCGACTAATTCTGAATATTATGTCCAAGGACTTCACCATTACCCAATACAGTAGAATAATAAAATAATTTTCCTTTCCTTTCAGCTGATAGTTGCACAGATTCTCTCAACTGGATACGCCTTAATCATGATGGCTGTCATAGTTGGTACAGCTTTGCAATTGCGTGAAGACGGCATTGGATCTCCTTCAGCCATTTTCTTGATAGCTATGACGGGTTCGTTCTTCATAGCTGCGTGTCTGCATCCACAAGAATTCTGGTGTATAGTTCCTGGACTTATATACCTCTTGTCTATACCTTCTATGTACTTGCTGTTAATTCTCTACTCTATCATTAATTTGAACAACGTATCGTGGGGTACTCGTGAAGTAGCAGTTAAGAAAACTAAAAAGGTAACGTAAATATTCAACAATGCAAATGAATATATTACTAAATTATATTTTCTTATAATGTTTAAAACCTAAATTGCCGAAAAAGAAATGAACCCACCACAATGATATAGAGTCTATAGACATTTATTTAATTATTATAATAATATATTCAGGAACTGGAAGAAGAAAAGAAGCAAGCCGAGGAATTAAAGAAGAAAACTAAACACAAATCACTGCTCGGTTTTCTACAGAACGGTGGTACTAGCGAAGATGACGAAGGAAGCATCGAAATTTCATTAGCTGGTCTGTTCAAATGTATGCTCTGCACTCACCAAAAAGCTGGCGATGAAAAGGCACAACTCATCCACATCGGGGATTCCCTTGATATGCTTGGAAAACGATTGGATCATATTGAAAAGTAATATAGTGTTCCTAATATTCTTATTTGGGTATTCAGTTATCCAAGAAAATTTGGCACTTAACTATGTTATAGAATCGTTGATCCCATGGGTCATGCATCCAGAAAACGAAGCATGTCTGCCTCCTCAAGACACGGAGGAGACCACCATCATCTGAGCGCGGTGAACGAAGAAGCAGCTGAAGATGCATCTTCTGAATCCGATTCAGAAAGTACGTCGACCGTGCCACAGAACAAGAGGGATGATTTAGTCAATCCTTACTGGATAGAAGATCCAGATGTTGGTAAAGGAGAAGTGGAATTCTTGAGCAGCAACGAATTGCAATTCTGGAAAGACTTGTTGGCAAAGTATCTTTATCCTCTGGATGAAAACAAAGAAGAAAAGGTAATATCTATTAAGATTGTTTTAAAGTATTATAAAGTTTTATGTCAACAAAAGGGCCTACTTTGAAAGGGAAGATTGGGTTTATTGGCGTATAATTTCGATATATTGTTCAATTTTTATATTTTCTTTCTTATTATTAAGTGCTTACTTTCTTGCAATAATGTCGCTGACCAAATCTTTAAAAGAAAAAATAATAGATAGAAATATCTATGTTATGTTTATTGCAAACTATTCTTGAAACGACAAAATTTTTGTGTTCTTTTTTTTCAATGTTTGTCTTTTGACAACAGGAAGAGATTTTACTGAAACATTTATGAGAAAACTGTGTATGATCTTGTAAACAATCACTAATAATTAATCAGAAAGTTTGCACACAAGTAGGAAATTTGCCTATGTGGATTATCATTCCAGTAGGACTTTACATAAAACAGATATATTGATTCTTAAAAACTACTGTAACAATAATATTCCCAGTTTCCAAGTCCCAGTCTTCTCTGCGTATAAACATATTCTAGAAAATGTTATTCATTTTTCTTTAAAATGTTCAGATATTTCTTTTAGCTGCATATTATACACTATCCGCAAAAAGTCCGCATCAAATGATATTTTATTTTTATTAGAAACAGGCATTTTTGTTTTTCTAAATAGGTATCAAATTTTAAGTAAGTATTTTAGGTAGATACAAAATATTAAGATATGAAAAATTAAATAAAAATTTTCAAAATTGCAATAAATGAGGGTACTTTTTGTCATTTTGACAAGATATTGACAGGTAAATCAAAACCCGCAGATATATAACTGTAGATATATTTAATTTTTGTTTTTACACAAGCAAAAACTACCTGTGTTACCCATGTTCAGTCTCTAAAAATCATTAAAAATGCCATTAAACTTTCATAAACCAGAGAAGGGTACAAATGTACCCCAGCAGACTCCATTTTTTGTGGTATTTTCTGAATTATTATTTTTTACTTAATTTCGTCTGAGCTATCTTCCATAAACGTACTCTTATTTCAGTATATAGAATTTACAACAAATTTCTTTTTATTGAAACAACTTACAGTGACTTTATTGCTTGGGGTACAGGTATACCCCGCTAAAAACAACATTTAAAGGGCATTTCTACTAAAAAACGTAGGGGTATTTTTGTACCCCACTTAATTATTGAGTGGGGTGTAAATGTACCCCAACTTTTTTTAATAAAAATTTATTTTTATAGAATTTAATGGATTTAATGGAATTTGTTTACCCCAGGTTTATAAAAGTTATTGCAGACGATTTTGCGGATACTGTATATTTCTAATACCAAATTCGAATTGGCAAATTATAACCGACTTTTGCAAAATTATAGGCCCGCATTGCATCCGACCTTAAAGAGCTTAGAGACCAATCAGTATTCGCTTTCTTTATGCTGAACGCCCTTTTTGTTCTTATCGTATTTTTACTCACCCTGAAAAAGGACCATCTGCATATCAAATGGCCCTTCGGCGTCAAGACCAACATAACCTACGACGAGAGCTCACAAGAGGTAACTAGAATGGGATCGCTTGGCACAAATTTGACGAAAAAATGTACAATATAAGTCAATCTGAGTCATATTATAAGGGCATAGACTCAGAATGACTTATATTTATGTAAAAATATACAAAAGATAACAAAAAGGATTTTTTATAAAAAAAATATTTCATTCTTTTTTTTTTGAAGATGGACTCGGAATAATTATTGAAAATTGACTAAACAAAATGTACTAAGCTTCAATAGTTTTCGCGCGCCTGGTAAACCGTCTGCTTCCGGATATTCGTCAAAGGTACCAAGTGTCCCAAACACGGACCGCTTTGACTAATGTAGCCTTAACTTTTTGATTGCAGGACCGCATAGCGAAGGACTTAATCGAGCTTCGCAATAAGTCGGTATTCGCATTCTTCATGTTCAACGCTCTGTTCGTATTAGTGGTATTCTTATTGCAACTTAACAAGGATCAGATCCATGTTAAGTGGCCTCTCGGAGTTAAAACGAATATTACGTACGTCGAGGAGACCTCTGAGGTACAATTTAAAGGACCGTTGAGAATGTTATTACACGTCTTCTATTCTGGAACTTGGAACTACTAATGATGTGTGTCTCTTGTGACCCGGCCTGTGGGACTTAATTTTCTTCCTGTGATTTATTGAAGAACGGTGATAGGTTACTGATATCTATTAGGCTATCGTGAATATAAGTCAGAGTAATAAAATATGGGGAAAGAAACATCAAGAAATAACTAAGAAAAGATTTGTAAAAATCTAAAACTTAAAAAAATATGTTTTTTTCAAACATCACAAAAGTATTGATTTTTGCGACGTGATTGACAATATAAAAAAGTCATTATAATGCCTAGGCATAACAGTAAAACACTTTTACGCCTAAGCCCAAAAGTACGAACATATATTATAAAACTTACATAAAGTGTCAAATTCAACGAGCGTAACCATACTCTCTCGATATATAATTACTTACAAGGTATTGCTTTTAAACCTTTTTATATTATTTGGAAAGTTTGAAATTGTTTAAAAAATATTTGTGGCGTTTGAAAAAAGTAGCATGTTCTATTCGGAGTAAAAATTACTTTTTGTTCTTGGCCTGTATGTCAAACGTACAGCCTCACCACAAAAAGTATCATTTTTACTCCTAAACGACTCTTAATAAAACAATAATACTATATTTTTCAAACGTCACTAAAGTATTAATCATAGATAAATGAAATAAATATAGATTGAAATGCGCGTCCACATTTTGGGTCGCAAAATTGTTTTGGGTCGCGACCGTTGTACGCGATCTGGCGCTGCTATAGCGGTTGTTAAGAACAACCGCAAATAAAAACAGAAATAATTTTCACTTGTCCATATCTCGTGTCAAAGTCAGAATCTTCAAAAATTATAAAATCTTTCAAAATCTAAACCGCTCTCATTGAAAAAATTCCGAAAAGTGTTTAAAGCGTCTATTTTCAAAGTAATTATTGCTATCTTGTGAATTTAAGTTAAGTTTTATTTACTCAAGCCCGTGATAATTGTGAAAAAATGGTATTAAAAACTGTGCTGTGGACTGCAAAAACAATCGTGGGTCGTGGTATAACGTCGGTTTCCAATGTTTCATAGGTATTTCGTACATGTCCTTATATAAAATAAAGTTTCTTGTATGCAACACACTGTATTTTATTTATAAAATTAAAAGAAAATAATAAATTTGAATAAATAATATTTGGGCGATATAATTCCGGAAAATGCCGAACCGCTCCGAAATTTTCAAAAGCTTTGGGTCGCGACCGTTCTAGAATAGCAAGAATAGCGCCAAATAGTATATATCGTATTAATTTTTGCGATGTAATTGACAATATAAAAATGTCATTTTAACATCTAGGCCAAAGAATATACCTAGCTAGAAAAAGAATGGACTCTGTCATATTGAAAAATGGTCCTACAGAAGTGGCGCCATCTATTGAGTAGGGCTTGTTTTAAATGGACCGAAGCGCGGGCTTTTTAAATGAGCGTATTTATTGAATTTTACTCTAAAATAATTAAATTTGATTATTAAATCTTATTTTTTACACAAATTCAACAATACTAATAACAAGTATCGTCGTGATGTGTAAAAAATAAGATTTAACAGTATAATTTATACAATTATTAAATACAATTAAAGCCAAACATGTGAAATATTATTTATTATTTAAAGTTTTTATTTATAAGAAAAATATTTAAACATCGTTTATTATAATAAAACAAGACCAACGTAACACGCCCAAAGTTTTGTAAATGGAGTAAATATAAATAGGTACTTAAATGATGGCAAAAATAAAAAACTTACATTATATTTTTAGGGCCACAAACAAAAAGAATTGTCTAATAAAAACACATATAACAAATTATAGTTTGAAAAACGTGTTGGTAATCATTTTTGATAATATTATGATTGGCGCTATGACAACGACAATATTTTTTGAGAATTTGACAATAGTATGACAATGGCCGTTGGAAACTATGGAAACTACAAAAAAAATCTGATTGAACGCCATCTGGCAATAACTAGTAGCAACTTCTTAACCTAAAAATTAATTGCACTACCACCTAGCGCCCGAGGCTGGAACTATTTTATTTGAAATTTCCGTTGAAACGGTGGAACCGCTTTTGCTATTTCACTTTCCGGCCCCTGATCTAGGCATAAAAGTAAAGGAATTTTGCGCCTACGCCTTGGCCTACGCACAAAAGTACAAAAATTTAAACTAACATTAAGTGTTGTGGTGTCAATATCAACGAGTGTATCCATTGTTGCTCGATATATAATTACTTACAAGGTATTACTTTCTATATTATTTTCTACGTCTGAAAATGTTAAAAAAAGTATCAGTGAAGTTCAAAAAAAAATAGTATGTTTTGTTCGGCGTAAAAATGTACTTTTTGTACCTGTTAAACGTACAGCACGTATGTGCAGGTCCTAGGTAGGATGTGAGTATAATTCCTCTGATTCTAGCCTCTGCTGTTTCAGGATCTTTATCGCAGAGTCTGAAGCAAAGGCTTCCTTGATACAGGTTGAGCTTATTCCAGATAGCATTTAACAGACATATGCACTGTCACTTACAAAACTTAATAATAAATAAAAAAACGTTTAATGAACCAATTTAAAATCTCTGTGTAAAACTTCACATAAGATACATACTTTTTTAAAAATTCTATATTTATATTACTCTGACACAAGCATCCATTTTTATTATTATAAATGCATGCGATCTAACATGCCTTATATACTTCTATATATTCTTCGCCAATAGGTACAGTATACTGAGCACTGTTTGTTATAAATTACGAATCACGTGAATTCCTTTGTGATTAATCAAATTCCTCCTCCTCCAAACAGCATACCTTTCCACCAAAGTGGTCTTCTTATTTCTTTGCATCCCAAAGATTTCAGGTTGATGGTAAAATTAACATTGGAAGGAGAGTGTTAATATTAGCACTATATATGTATATGTTCTACACCAGTTTAAGGTTCTAACAAAAACCAACAGCAACACAAAACCAAGGATTATTAAAATTTCGAATCATTTAATATATATTTCCAAAACTTAACTCAATTAGAATAGAAACAGATTCGAAATTTTAATACAAAATCTGGAAATTTACACAATTAAAAATACCATTTCATTCATATTCATTTGCGGTCAAAATTTATAAAATTTGACAATTTTGTGATACAAAAATTAAATAACATTCACTAATCACTTATTATTCAAACAAACAAAAAATCTCACACACACTAGTTTTTCGGATTTTTAAACACGTTTCGTCTTTTAAACCTTCTTTGGTATGTTACATTATGGCAGTCCTCTAAAAAAATTGCACCAATATCTTCACTCTTAATTTTCCTCACGAATTCATTATGTGATAACACACTGTACTGATCTTATAACTTGTTTAGTTATAAAGTGTTTAAAACGATATTTTATATACAACACACTCTGAAATGTTATTACAAAACGATACTTAAAAAAATACCAGCTTTTAACCAGGATTTTGAATGGCCTGCAAAAAATAATTGCATGGAGTCGAATGACAATATGTATGATAAAAGACTATTATATATATTTTCAATCAAATAACAATTACTGTTTAAAGTTGTATATATAATAAACAAAGGTACTCTCAATAAAACAGTTAATTATTATGTGAAACTCTCAATTATTCTATTTCTAGAATGATCAAAACTTGCTAACAAATAAACTGAAGACACAGATAATTTAGAACTAAAATCTTAGGTCTTTATTTTAAGTGATCAATATATCAATATGATCGAAAAAGAACATCGTTAGCTAATGCTATGAAGTGAAGATCGCTGTCATTTTCTACGTAAAATTATATGGGGAATGTCATCGATGTTCATTTCCAAGCCAACTGGACACCGTTTTTTTCATACAGTATAAAATATTTGCAGTTTTTCTAAGTAAAAAACTCAATTACAAAAAAATGTGGCTCAATATCAAATACAGAAACTTAAAAAAGGCATTACTAAAACAAATTCACAGTATTAAATATAATTTTCACATTATTTATAACTGTTTTTGATAGTATCTTAAAATATATATTATTTCCTATTTATAAGTTGTTATATAAGTATTTAAAAGTAATAAAATAGAACAATTTTATTAATTAAACGTCTTTTTTACTTAGGTTCACATCACAAAAGAATATCTTCAACTGGAACCCATTGGTTTAGTTTTCGTGTTCTTCTTTGCCCTTATTTTGGTGATCCAATTCGTAGCTATGTTGTTCCACAGATTCGGAACCATAGCCCACATACTTGCTTCGACTGAGTTGAATTTATGCAGCAAAAAGGTAATAAACAACTTTAATTCAAAAGATTTCCCTAATATTGAACTTGAATAAAATTTTCAGAAAGAGGAACTGTCTCCAAATGCTCTGCTGGATAAACAAGCTGTAGAAATAGTGAAGCAGCTGCAAAAATTGCAAGGAATCGACGATGGAGATTATGATAATGATTCTGGATCAGGCCCTGATAGAATAGGCCGCAGGAAAACGATCCATAACATTGAAAGAGCTGCTCAGAAGAAAAGACAGATCGGAACGCTGGACGTTGCCTTCAAGAAAAGATTTGCTAAAATCAATGCCAATCCTAATGGAGGTAAGTACTTATACAAAAACAAATTGAAAATGTAAATGTCTTAAAAACAATTTTAAATACCTTATGACTTTATAGATATTTGATAATAATTATTAAATTCAATGATTTTTTCTCTAAATGTTACTTATGAATATTATTTTCATAACTTCTGAGGTTACGATTCACTTATTCTAATTAAAAAGTTGATGGAATAAGTATAACCACAGTCTCTCTGTCCAAGAAAAGTACATGTGAGGGTGGCATTTGTGGTCTGTCATTTTCAGTCAAAAGTAGATTATTTTGTCTGTCATTTCTTGAATGTCATCTGTCGAAATTTTTCCTTAAAATGATTGTCACTAATAAATCTGCGGTATTACTACAACCACGAATTCAAGATCTTATTTCTTTTTGTATTAGTTCAATTGTTTAATTCAATATATAAATTGCATTAAATGAAAAACAAGCCAACTATTTTAAAAAAATTAAAAAATACCAAAAACAGCATAACTTATTGCAAAAGTTGTTTGAGAATTTTTTTCATAATATATGCTACTACGATAGCCTTTTTCTAAATAATGAGATTGAAAGAAATACGTAGTACGAAATTATCTCTGACCTGGTCAAATTCTCAATAACATTATTTTTATAGTTAATATTTACAGGGTGTTTCAAAAAACATGTGCCATCTCCCGTGCGGAGATTCCTCACATAGAAATAAGATTTATTTTTCATATCAACATATCATAGTCATAACATAGGTCCGATTCTGCTTTGTTTCGTAACTACAGGGTGTAAAGGGTGCTTTGTTTCGTAACTACAGGGTGTAACTAAAGTCTTAATATTTTTTCGATTTATTATTAATTAATTTTCTTCTAAGTAATTTTAGTGTTTCGAATGAAATTTTGAGGGTAAAAGTTACAAGCTAAAAACAAAGTAAAAGCTAAAAAAGTGTCGACATATTCACCAATGACGTGCATATGGGTTATCACTGGAATATTTTTCTAAAAAAATCATCTACGCCACTGACTTTTTTTTCTGTTAGAAAAGTAGTGTAAGCAATTTAATGCCAATTTAAAGTTGTCTCTTGATTTTGTTGATTTCGGCCTCCTTGATGAGATAAACGTCACAACCTCTCAAAAAATTTAATATCATTAACTTGCGAAAGTTTAGTAGAAAAGTACTCATTGATTCCTCATAAAAAATATGAAAAAAAGTTCCTATAAACATGGGTATGAAAATACATAGCTTTTTAAAATGCTTTTTTAAAAAATAAAATACACAAGATGGTGTAACTTTAAAGTATGATAATTAGGTATATTCATAATATATATTGCCACGTTTCACTTTTTCTTCTAAATTAAAAGATTAATGCGAATTGGCAGTTGGACTTGATCAAATCCTCCTGACAAAATTTTATACATCCTTGAAATAAACTTTAAAATATAGTTGCTGATAAATCTGCAGCCTAAATTGAAGATTTAAATAAAAACCCAAACAACTTCTGAAGTTCCAGGACAAATTTCTGAAAGTATTATTCTAATTTTATTACAGCATCACCTATATAAATATTAAAATACATTTTAGTCGCTGATATTCTATGAAATGTATTAAGATAAACTAAAAAAAAATGTTTTATTCTAGGTACACCCGTTCTAAGTCGCAGAATGACGATGCGTCGCGAAACAATGAAAGCTCTAGAAGTGAGAGTAAACTCCGTGATGGCCGAAAGAAGAAAGTCACAAATGAAGACACTAGGTGCCAAAAATGAATTCAACCTGGCCAACAACAACGTAAACAACCTGACGAGGAACCACAGGAGCAGCGTGGCCAGCAGCATACCTGCCAAAGAGATTTTCGAGAACGGTCACGTGAACAAAGCTTTTGAGGAGGAAAGCACTTACGGAAGCCGAAACTCGCTACAGATGCAGAAAAGAAGTAATCCTCAATGGAAGGGAAGCAATAGCAGAATGTAAATATTAGGAAAAATGTAAAATTTTCAAATCACTGCCAATAATACTCCTATAATACTCGTAAACGACTCTTGTAATCCGTATTTTATGTTACCTTCTTGTCAAAGACAATAAATATATGTCTGGATGGCTAAAATTTTCAGTTCTTCTGTTTTCTTCTCAAACAACAATAAGCCATTCTGATAAAACAATTTTAGTCTTTGCATTTGTACTCTCCAAGAAAGTTAAGATATTTTTTTATACTGCCATAGTTATATAAGTTGACCTGTAATCTCTCTTTTTTCTTTTTTTACCTCTTTTTTATAAGACTCTAAGTAAGCTCAAATGTAAAAATATTATATTTAGGTAAATTGTATTTATATTTAGTGTTAGGGCTTGAAATTTGTGATAAGATTTTAATAAATTAAAAAGAATCTCCATAAATGTTATTTTACTAAGAGACAAGCAACACTTTCTTTGTGTCTTTACATCACAGTGTAAGTGTGTAACTATTACTAAACTTGAAAAATACGCCAAAATATATTTTTTTCATTCTATCCATTCCTCCAGTGCCAAAAAATCTCTCACAATATACAATGTGGTATTAAAACTACAATATCAAAAATATGAATAGGTTCTAAAATACTTATTTCGTTTGGAACCTATTTATATTTTTTTATATTATAGTTTTGCCGTTGGACAACGGATAAATGACGCTTATAATATGTCATTATCAAGAGCGCAGCTTTAAACATATTCAAAAAATAATCAAATTTAAATAATGTGAAATAATTCTACTACGCTTACTGTGTTCATTCGATTAGAGGATATTTATATGTACCATTGCGATAAAAAAAAAGTAGTACAAGAATTTGTAGCCTCAGATAGAACTCCTGGTCTATAAGTATGCCACCTAACTTTTTAGGCGTTACCATGAATTTGATAATAATTGGTAGGTATACGTGGCGAAATAAAAGTATAAAAAATTTAGAGACTTTTTAAAAATGGGCAATTTTTCAAGTTTTTTTTTATTTTATTATAGACCAGCAGATTAAATCATATTTTGTGGTACTACTTTTTTTATCGCAATGGTACATAAAGATAAGCATTCTGTAAATAAACCTAACTTTTTCACATAAAATACAGATTAACACGTCAGTTAAAAATTCAGTTGTCCAGATATGTAATTTTTTAAATCTTTTATAACTTTTAGTTAATATTAAAATTAATGTATTGTTCTCATGACTGACATATTTGATATAAGAAGTAAAACGTAGTGAAACACAGTTCTCATTGGAAAGATATCCAACCTAATGGCCGATTTAATGAACAGTGCTTTCCATAAAATCAATAAAATGAAAAATATACGAAATAATACACATATACTGATTTCTTTCGAAAATCGACAACTATGAAACTATGAGCCCTTCCCGGACACAAACGGTACATTGTGTGACAGAAAATTGTAGAGAGAAACAAGCCCTATAACATAGGATACAACATTTTAATGAACAGTGCTTTCCATAAAATCAATAAAATGAAAAATATACGAAATAATATACTTGTACTGATTTTTTTCGAAAATCGACAACTATGAAACTATCAATCCTTCCCGGACTAAAACGGTACATTGTGAGACTGGGGTGAGGCTGATATGATTTCGCCTTGCGTCTCAAGTGCTGTCCGGTGGAGACACCAATCGTTCTGCGGTCAACGTATAAAACACTTATTTTCTCTAATTCGGCCAGCGAAGGCATATCAAAGGCGATGTGGATCTGAAAGCGACAGTGTTGCCATATTAAAATGTATAATATCTGTAATACGTTCGACGAAAATATCTTCGGAAGGAAAATCCGCGTTTATGTATTAAAATATATTGGTGTTAAACATAGAATAAACAACAAAAATAAAAACTCTTTTATATGTACTGAATACGTCGTGTGATCGAAAAAAGTCGTTTAGTAAGCTTGGAAATGACGATTATTGACAGTTACCATAATATTTTACATAAGAAATAACAATAGGAATAACGTACTGTACCCAAAATCCGTAAATCTACGGATTAATCAGTAGTTCCTGGCGACACTGCCTTCGGCCCCAACCACGTTGCGACGGTACAATATTCTTCATACGCTGCGCTGTAAAAAACAGTGCGCAGCAGCGCAAAGCTAAACTAAATCTCGGAATTCTCAGACAGGCTGACGTTAACGCCAGCTACATCTGGGCAGGTTTTGTGCTACGAAATCGCCCAGAAGGTTGCGCATTTTCTTATTTCTTCAATCAACGATAATAGCAAAAACTGAGTAGTTTTTAGTATTTTTGGACATTTTTAAATTTAAATTCATCATCATTTAAATATGTTATCTGAAATATTATTACAACTCTCGACAAAAAAAACAATATTGACAAGACTGACAGAGCGATAAGCGCCATCTCCATCTCTTTAATAAAAATGCAATAATCTAATGACCTGATTTAATAAATTCATAATAATACAAAAAAAGTTAACTAATAATAATTTCGCCCACTTCAATCTCCTCGCTCTTAATGATCACTCCATTTTCGTCAACGTCTTCAATCGTAACAATAATTTCCCGATTTTCTACCGTTCTATCTTCAGCAATATCCAAATTTTCGATTTGTTTCACAGTCTGTTCTTCCTCCTCCATCAATGTCAACTTGTAACTACCGTCAGTCTCATCCCGAACCAAATTATAAGTAGTTATTTTCCTTTTTTCAACGGGCTTCATTGACTCGCTTTTTATCATTTCTTCCGTAACTTCTAAACTTTCGTACCGAACCGTTTGCAAACGAAACACTCCATCAGAATCCTTCCTATATCTATAAAACGTTTGAGTTTAATAAGATGTCATTGTGACAAAAATATCTATGTTCACCTGAAACGCGAATGACCAGATGGCCATTGAAACTTGTGAAAATTCATCAAATGTTTGGTTAGATAACAGCCACGCAAGAAAGGGGTTTTGCAGATCTGGCACTCATAATAGGTAGTTTCCTAAAAAAATAATATACAGGTTGTCCCTGATGAGTATGTACTACAGATTTTAATACGCATTTAAGACGGAATCGACTTCATGAGACGCCAGTTTTTGATGTTTGACATTTCAGTTGACACACGTTTGAAACTGATTTGTATTTTAGCAGATTTATTGGATTTTTTTAATTTTATTTAATGTTATTTGTTGATTATTTTATCACAGAAAATCATTCAATTTTAAAATAAAAATATTCAAAGCAATCAGATGAGCAGTAATCAAACAGAGACAAACGAAAAACAAAACAAAAGAGTGAAACCAAAGCAATCAAAACACGTTGGAAGTATGGAGTGTAGAGGTATCAGATATACTAGGGGCTGGCAAAGGTTAGTCTTGGGTCGAAATTTCCGTATGCAAGAAGAATACAATGCGTTTATAATGTACTGAAAAAAGAGAGAACAGTAAACACGTTGCCAAACGTACGAAATAAACCGAGAAAGTGCGCACATTGCTACGAGACGTGGAAGGGCTGTTTGTCGCAGTCCACCGGTCGACCCAATCAGTACCTCTGTCAGTACTTAAAGTTCTAGGGAAAGGTGTACATCATGCGTTCAGCTTCACGATTTAATTACGTCTTGCGATACTTTATTTGTTTATTTATTAACGAGTCTTTGTAATTTTCCCTATAGCTTGAAAATTTCTAAGTGCAAGTTAGAAACGCTTGCATTTTTGGTAAAAATAAAGTGGAATTCAGTTGGTGTTCGACAGTGGTCGCGCTATTAGAACTCTGAATTCGAAATGAATCGATATCTCAAAATCTATTATAAATAATTGATTGTAGTTTTTTTCAAAAACTTTCTTAACATCCCTGTTATATTTTCTTCGCAGACAGTATGTGAAATTCTTTATAAATAAAAAAGTTACACGTTTGCTGAAAATTGCTATGCACTAAAAGTAAATGGATGGGTTGTTTAAAACTTTTGAATGGAAAAAAATAACCTTATCGAATTTTTCTTATTTAAATATATTGTAAAAGATCCGATCTTCAAAATAAAAAAGTTTCAATATCTAAAGTGATTCTTGTTATGGAGTGTTATGTGTTAAAAAGTTGAGTTCTTGAATTATCGCGATTACTGACGTTTTATCGTTATAAAAAAAAATGGGTACCCTAACGATATCCTTACAATTCCATTTCAGATGCTCAAAAACATATCTAATGATTTTATCTAGTTATTTTTTTCGAAAAAAAGTCGTTTAAAAATTATGATGTGATTTTACTCTACCTGATAGGGAAAGGCGTACCGGCAACGCCGCAACAGCACACCGTCGCATTTCTCTCACTCCGACTTAATAAGATCCCTATGCGATTTACTTCCACACATGTAAGTACCGACCCAAAAGTAACAGTTGTCAGCACGGTATAAGAATGTAGGGGAAAAAATTATTCTTTGCTCTTTATTTTTCCATCAGCTATTCAAGCAACTTCGCACCAAAAACACTTTCACAATCGTTAAATAATAAAGAAAACACAAGATATGGATAAAAAAGAATTGTTTTATATTCTAAAAAATAGAAACAAAGCTTTTTTTGGGTAATGTTTGGTTATGTTACTTTTATTCCCTTATCTATGGTTACTTTTCATTTTTAGATTTATGCGTTATTATGTTGCACTGTGGTCATTTGTCATCTTCCCATGTGACCACTTTTTCAAATAAAGTCCCATAAAAGATATTTTTCATCTCTACACTCCATAGTTGGAAGCTAGAATAAGGGCGGTATTCCTGTTCTTCAGAAAGTATACCGCCGAACGGCGGTTTTTATATTTAGTAACAACTACCGTATTCGAAAAATTTACCTCGTTTTTCGGCGGTATTCAAGTTCAAATTGAAAAAAAACTGTAACTGCTTCATTGAATAATAGATCTTAAGTTATGATATTTTTTGTTATATTTTTAGTTAAACTTAAGTTATTTGAATATATTACAACTGAGACCAATTAATTTTTTTGCAATAAATATAACTTTTAAAACTTACCTTTCCGTGAATTTTAATCATGTGATTGGTCAATCCGATTTTACTTTTACATCCAAATTCACACTGATCACATTTAAACGGTTTCTCTTGGTGTGTCAAAAGGTGAGTATTTAAATTACACTTTGCTACAAATCTAATAAAAAAAACAAATTACTTAAATACATATAGATATAAATTAGAGAAGCCATACTTTTTATCACAGAACGAACAAGCAAAACTTCTTATGTCCATATGCTTGTACCTATAATGCTTAGCTAGCATAGAAGGCTTAGGACAGGTCATATCACACATATTACATTTGTATTGGTTTATATGAGCTTTCATGTGTTCACTCAGAATTCGCTCACTGGAAAATAGTTTTAAACATTGTGAACATTGATAACTTCTTACTGGAATTAAATTAATTTTGAGTATATTTTTTACAGTGGAGTATACAACTCACAGTCGCTTTTTAATTGTCTGTTTCTATGATCAGAAAAAGTAAGTTTTGTGGAAAATAAAGTGTAACATTCAGGACAGGCGACCATTTTTTCTTTAGTGTGAACTTTTAAATGGTCTGATAATCTGTAGCGTGTAGAAAACCTTTGTTTACAAACTGAAAAAATATCTGTTTTATTAAATGAATAAAAATAAAATTTTGGCAACCCTGTCAGGAAAGGATCTGCCAAAATGTTCGCTACAAGTGAGAATTTTTTTATTATTGAGTAGGTACACGAAAATATTGGATCAAAGATTGCACGCCCGGTATAATATTTTCAATATTTACTTACGTTTCCACTGACATTCAATAACAACATTTTCACCCTTCTTCTTACCAGATGGAGCTGCCTTAGCATGACATTCCACATGAAAAAAGTAATCCAAAATTGTATTGCTATTATGACCACACTCTTCCCATTCGCATAGATAGCTTTTAGTGTCAACATCAATAGAATAGAAAGATTTTACTCTGCATTCTGGCAGATTGTTCCTTTGGATAATATTTTCCCCTATATTAACCAATCTGGCATAATAACCATGATACATTATATGTTTCAGCAGTTTGTCGTATGATCCCAAGTCCACTGGATTGGGACAATTGATCCATTTACACTCAAAATCGTCTACAATTGAAGAATGCTCAAAATAAAGTCTTAGTTTAAAGCATTCACAAATTTTATACCTGCTATTTGTTCAACATGCCATGCTAAATGATTATAGAATAATTCAAAATTTGTAAATGTTTCCAAGCAATTATCCCATAAACAACTTATGTTGAGAGGTTCTTGTTTAAATGTAACTCTAACACAATGTTTTCTTTTCTTTGTTTCCTAAATGTCGTAAAATACAAGATATTACATTTAAAGAGGATGTTAAGCAAGAATAATACTTCTAGTTTTGAGTCACCCTGTGTATATAAACCTTGCAATATATTGTACTATTGTAATATATTATTCATACATTTCAATATATTTAGTTTTGAAAAGGAAATTTATAAAATATTTTCAATTAAAAAATCCATACCAAAGTTATATTTTTTCTTATGGAACACCCGGTATTTTATTTCATTTTTGGATTCTTGGGACCAAAAAAAGGTATTTATTATAAGGGTTAAATATGTTTAAAATCTTTGGTTTTTGAGATATTTGAAGATATTTAAATTTGCATGCTAGAATAAAATAGATTATTAACACCCTGTACATTACTTTTCAGAATTAATTCTTGTGCTGAGTTTAAAGGTAGAGAAATAAACTTTACAGAAAAATGTTATTACTTTCTTAAATTTATACAGGGGTATCAAAAATTGCTGATCTATTTTGAGAATTTATTTTACATAAAAACTCCGTTATTTCAAATACAACACCCTGTATTTTTTTAAATATATCGAAGCAGATTCAAATGTTCTTTCAAACTATATTAGGGTTTCCTATATCTATCTAGTTCAGATTTTGAATAAAGAGCAATTTTTTTAATAAAATGGCAACCAAGAGGGCTAGTGTCGTCATGGTGACAGTTAGTAGCTATTTTCAAAATCGAAATTAGTTTATGGACATTATTATATATAATAATTTATAACAGTTTACTTAAAGGTACCTACAATAGTTTAATAAGAAACGAGGCGAATGAGGTGCGCCACCCTGTATACTAATCCTAGACAGAAATAAAGAATAGAGAAACAATATCCACAAAAAAAATAAACAAAACAAAATAACATATATAAATATCATACAAATTATATCCAAATTTAAGAAACAAATATATTTCTACAATATAAAATAGGTTAAAATATAGACTAAATCTGCTATACACAGGACACAAAAAATAAGTAAAGACGACACTGACTAACAAATCAACTAATAAATGAATTTTACTTACCTCGTCTTTCATTTCATCAACAATCACAAGATCATTTTCAGATTGTGAAGAGTCATCATCGGAGAATCTGTTTGTTCTAAATTTCTTACATTTGCTCTGCTGCTTTCCTTTGGTTATCACATTCTCAAACACTGCCAAACTTTTAGCCTTCAAGACTTCTTCTTTAGACTCCATAATAACTAAGGTAATTGAGGTGTTTCTATAAGTATTTGTATTTTCAAACACTGTGTATCTACAGTATACACTGGTATTATAGACAGTCTATCTTCAGATATAATATCAGATTTGCTTTCTTCAACCCAAGGAAATTCCTACAGATAAATTTTAAATTAAATGACATATTAAAGAAAATATATATCAAATTCAGTACCTCAAATGAAGGGTTTTCATTAAATTCTACACTTAAGTTAAAACTGGTTTGTAGTCTGATACTAAATGAAGAATCGGTTGGCAGGTCCGGTAAATAAATTTGAGATGAATGTAGTTTTAGAATAAAGCTTCTAAAATATTGTTCAAGTTCAACAAAAAATGGATCACTAGAATAAATACAAATTTTTTTAAGCAACTAATTGATTAAAAGTCTTTTAATGTATTTTGTATACCTATCGTATAATTCTGTAACACCCAAAACATCAAAAACAAATCGTTCCCTCACTATTTCATCAGATTCAAAACAAACATACAATCTTTGTAATTGTCTCTTTTTACAATGAAATGCTACAGCTTTCAAACAGTTCTGTATATAATTCTGTATACCGGGATGTACAGCTTGATACACGACAACACCATATTTCTTTCTGGATTCGAATACAGCGTCTGGATACAATTTCCTAGCGTAGAGTATATTGTGAATAGCTATTTCGAAAAATTCACACAAAACTTCAACAGCTATAAGGAAAGGATTATTTTTTTAATTTAAATATTCATATACAAGGATATAACTTAATGATTTACCAGCCAACTGATCATTTGAGGTCATCGAAATTTTACCACACTAAATCTTACTGTAGAAGTCAAATTATTTTCAATAGTATTATTTTTACTAAAAACAACTGGTAAAGATAAAAAATTTCAAATTTAAATGTAAACATCAGAGGTAAACATTAAATGTGAGGTTAGTTTCAATTCTAAATGGTGCTTTTCAATATATAGATGGCAGCACATGTAAAGTTAATTTTAGCATTGCATCAGAGATGGCCAAGCAAATTATGGGGATTTACAAATTTAAATTTAATTGAATTAACTATAAAACTGGTAATTAATGAAATATTATGGAATAAAGCGATAATACTAATTAATTCTTATTTTCGCTGTGAAGCAGTTTATAAATCTTTAATGAAATCAGTTTAAATATAAGCAATAATATTTCTATAAAGCTCATGACGCTGATTCCTAAAAATAGGGACAATATTCCACCGAAAATACCTAAAATATGAATTAATTTAAGTTCAAGTGTTTCTAAGTATGTTATTTATAAATTAATTACTTAGAGCTTCGTACCAAGTAATGGTAGATGTTTTTTTCATTATATCTGCGTAAGCCATGTACGAAAATATATGAACTTTTGAGTCCATTCTAGAAAAAAAAATTATTTATTTAAACTAGTAAATACGTATAGTAAAAATAGATTGTGTTAACTTATTTCCAGAATCACCACCAAAATATTCGATTTCATGGACATCTACGTCATAAATGACATCATCGCAGTTGGGTATACAATGACATTTCAAGGAATCTTCTAGCTCAAAAGCCAACTCTGGATTATCGGGATCCTCTGTTGGATAATATCTTAATATTTTGTCTAAAAAAATCGAATATAAACTATATCATCAGTATTTTATGATATTTAATTATAATTACGTTGGTATTTGTTGAGACAAGGAATATCAATGACATTACAATATCGCAAATTATTCTTTTCAACTTTTATCTTGGGGAACATGAATGGAATACATTTACATAAGGACAAAATACTTTTTATCTTGCAGCTTACGTAACAATTACTGGAAGAATATAGTCCAAATCCTATGTTTTCCTCATCAGCAAATTTACATTTTCTCTAAAATAAAAATATATACGTAGGTATAGGCAAATAATGAGTTAATCAACAGAGAATCCCCCTGTAGCTTCGAAACCGATCAAGATAGCCACGATCCGCTTGCGCCATTGTGATTTTTTCAAAAAAAGAACCCGAGACTGCAGTATCAAAATATGAATATTTCTCACGGTTTCCTAGATACCACCCTATAGAAACAACCAAAATGGTCCACCCTGTACATGACTGGCAACAATTAATTTAAAAATTGCACCCTCGATTACGTAACTAAAAGTTGTTATTTCAAAGGTCACTATACTATAAATATGTTTTAGGCAGAGACAAAAGAATATCTGGAAAGTCTAAGTACGAAAACAATACAAATTTCGAAGCAAGATGACAATTATCACGATATTTACCAGAGACTGAGGCATAGCCCTTATTGTATCCTGACTCCTCAGCGAATAAGGTTCCAATTTAATAAAAACTTCCGATTGTTCTTTCACGATTACTTCCCTCAAAGATCCGCTGCTGACATCTGGGAAATCTGTAGGTAGGAACACCTTTATGGTAACACCTCTTGTAGCCAGAGTTGTGTAAAAGTAATCGCTGAGGTTGTTACTAATGGTAACTGTCAATCCGTTGTTCAGTTCGGAGCCTTCAAATTTTTTGCTGGTTTTTGGTAGGTGATAATGGGCTTCTGATGCACCGTATCTTGAATATAGATAAAATTGTAGAAACGATTAATATAATAAAAAATCTAAGATTGAACGAACAAGTACTGGAAAGTTAGTAAAGCCAGGAAAGCCTCCATAGTTTGGAAAAAGCAGAAATAACTTTTATACGTAGATATATTTATACGGGTGTTATAACTTATTAATAAGAGACCCTCAAATATATTACTATATATTTAGTTCGAAATTTTCATGAATATAATTTTTACCTATACCGGGTGCAGTCTCAAAAGTGGCCCACTTTAACTTTTTTATAATTTTTCAGGTAAAAAAACGAGATTTGGTATGTTAGTATATGACATAAATTAGGATCGATTGACGTATTCAATTGTTTTTGGTCACTTCCTATTTTACCGGAAGTGACTACAACTTTTGATTTTTAAATAATGGCGCCCTCGGTATATTTCTACTTTATTCGATAGAAAATGACACTCTGAATAAAATGACATATCAAATGTCAATTTTTGACATATATATTCGACCATAGATAAATGCAACAAGTTTAGATTGGAAAGCCCGTAAAAATTTTAGGTCGCGAAATTATTTTGGGTCGCGACCGTTATACGCGATCTGGCGCTGCTATAGCGGTCGCTAAGAACAACGACAAACAAAAACAGAATAATTTTCTCTTGTCAAAGTCAGAATCTTCAAAAATCATAATATTCTTTCAAAATCTAAACCGCTCTCATTAAAGAAATTCCGAAAAGTGTTTATAGCGTCCATTTTCAAAGTAATAATTGCTATCTTGTGAGTTTAATTCAAGTTTTATTTACTCCAACCGGTGATAATTGTGAAAAAGTGGCATAAAAACTTAAAAAGCTGTGCTGTGAACTGTGAACTGCAAAAACCATCCTGGATCGTGGCATAACGTCGGTTTCCAATGTTTCATAGGTATTTCATACATGCGTCCTTATATAAAATAAAGTTTCTTGTATGCAACACACTGTCTTTTATTTATAAAATTAAACGAAAATAATAATAAATTTGAATAAACAATATTTGGCGATATAGTTCCGGAAAAAGCCGAACCGCTCCGAAATTTTCAAAAGTTTTGGGTCGCGACCGTAGCAAGAATAGCGCCAAATAGTGTTTACATTGTCCTTATGGGCACTTTCCAATCTAAACTTGTTTCGTTTATCTATGTATTCGACAGAATTAATATTTGAACACGCGTTTATTATATGTATAGAAGATATTTAGGAACAAAATTTTCCACTTAAACTGCAGAAATATAATAAAATAATTGCAATATTTTTATGATTTAATTTTATCAAAAAATAATAATAATAATAATAATATTAAAATATAATTAATATAATTATAAAAAATCATAATAATATAATTATTTATCTAATTAATTTTATTATTTTTATTTTTATTATTTTATATTTTTTTATTACATAATTTTTTTTTTATTTTTTTTTTTTTTTTTTTTTTATAAATTAGTATATAAAGTTGTATATAATATGTTTGTTTACGGCCTTAATTGATTAATATAAAAGTAGTATTGCTTGATGAGTAATACTGGTAACATTATCATATCCGCTTGGGAAAATTATTAATTGACCCGATCGATGTCAACAAAAGTATAGTCCACAAACATTATTTAAATGCAATGTTCTTTTATTGTTCTTAGGAGAACTCTGTAAACGATACTTTTATTAGCACCCAGCATGGTTTTTATATAAATCCATTCTACTATATTGTAACAATAAAAAATAAAAAACAAACAACCAATCACGACGCGTCTCGATCGATTTCAGGAAACGTGGGAACTAATTTTTATAACACGGGCTTGGTATTTATCGTTCTATTTTCAGTAATGTTTTGCGAAATGTTTCACGAAATACTTCCAGAATTATTTCGTAAAACATTTCGGGTATAGTGTAGTGGCTGTTTTAGAGGGCATATTAGGGCGGGGCTATATGCTACTCACATTTCAGGTCTTAAAATGGGTTGAATCTGATTAAAAGAACAACAAAACCCACCATCGCTTAACCTAACGCGAAACAAATTTCTACAATCATATTCTACAGAGTTCCATTCGCATTTCTGTAGCATCTCGTCACATGGAACCATCAGCTTCAAAAGAAGTACCGCTAAATCCGTACCGTTCAAAAATTGATCCAAAATATTCTGTAGTCTAGCAAAATTATTAGAACCATGCAAGCTGAAATCGTACATGTTTCCTAATAATTTTACATACCTCAGTACAACAGAATATGCTTCATTATTGAAATAGGAATGTCTAAAAATATTTGTTATAATGTAATTTAAAAATAAAAATAAATAAAATATATGTGGGTCACATTTTTTCTGCTAATTCTTGAGCTTTCCATTTGCTTAGTTTGTTCACGTTACAAATGTCGATGGCGGGAAAATTGACGTCAGTTATGGGTAATTCCCATGGGTCTAATGTTACGTATGTTGGATCTTCCACCCAGTTATAGTAAACGCACATCGTGACTATAAAGGAGCCAGTTAAGCCTCCTATTATGACAAAAATCCAAAAAGCTCTAAAAGTAACACTGCTATAATATTACCATGATTTTTTAAATATTTTTTAGTAGAATAAGAAATTTTTGAAGTTGACTTAGAAACTAGGTTGTTAATTGTTAAAAGAGTATGTATTTTATATTTGTATCCCTCTGGTGTTTTACAATTACTAATTTTTGTTCCCCAGGCCCCCTGTTACAATACAAATCACAGCTTTTATTCAATACCCAGCTATCCAAATTCGCATGTATTGGACAGTCCGAATCTCAAGGCACCAGTAGTTTGAATCGATTTTTTGGGCGAAGATAGAGATAAAGACAGATATAAAAGATAGATGAATATATAGATGGATTGGACCAACAGTGGATTAAAAAAAGATGGGGAATATCTTAACCATCTAAGATTTGCTGATGACATAGTCCTAATTGCCAATTGTCCTCAGGTACTACAAACACAAATTAACGAACTAAATACAGCCAGCAAGAAAGTAGGTCTCACAATGAATTTAGCAAAAACTAAAGTAATGTACAACAAACTAGTAAACAAAAAAGCATTCTAGTAAATAACACATCACTGAAAATAGTAGAAGAATATATAGGCATATTTGGGATAACTGATACACAGCTCGGGATCGAGACTGATGGTTTGACTACTGGCATATATATGAGAATAACTAATAAGCTAAGATTACTAGCTGGTACCGAATAAGCTGTGATTCTGCTTAATCTGTTCTATACACAAGACTTTTTGTGCCATGTATGATTGTGCCGATTCTTTGTTACAACTTTTACTGATATTTCTCAGACAACTATTAGTTCTATTATGGTAATTTCATTCTATTTTGTGTACTGCTCTGTTACGTAAAATAAAAATACCTATACCTTTCGAACTTTGAAGAGGTGTTCAGATATTGACATGTAGAAATATTAGATACGTTTGCAAAATTTTCAAGAATTTCAACAACTGTTGTTTGTTTTTTAAAACGTCTTTGAAACATTATTGTAACTAATTTCTATTTAACACATTTCATAAAAAAAGTTATAGCTCTAGATACAAAAACTAAAACACTAGTTTATGAGGAGAATTAAAAAGATCAATAATCTATAATTATTGCTTTTAAAACAATATTTCACAAGTGTGTTGATCACGCTATCATTTGTATCCCACATTGTATAAGGGGTTGTTAGAAGTTAGTAACAATATCCGGTTAAATAAAAAAATTTTGAACATTTGGAATTTCTTTATAAAAATTTTGGAGATTTTTTAATTTTTAGTTAAAAAACGCAATATCTTCATAATATGGCAACATAGGCAGTAGATTAAATTTACAAAAAAGACAACCCAGAAAAGATCCAGCGGTTCTCATCTCATAACGTAAAGGAAAAATCATTTTTTTTTATTTTCAAATTAAAATATCTCGGATATTTTGAACTTACATATTTGAATAACAGTAAAGAGAAAATATATTTCTTTTATCGAGATCTACCAGCCCTGAAAATATTTGCACTTACTTAAGACTCCCCTTGTATATAACATATATATACCGGGTGCGTCTCAAAAGTGGCTCACCCCTATAACTTTTTTATTTTTACAGTTAAAAAACGAGATTTTGTATATTAATATATGACATAAATTAGGATTGATTGGCGTATTCAATTGTTTTCTGTCACTTCCTGTTTCACCGGAAATGACTACAACTTTTGATTTTTAAATGGCACCCGAATGTCATATCATATGGTTTATTTGAAATTATATCTTGCGGTTCGTAACGAAAATTTGACTCGAAATACCAAGTGTGTGGTACCAAATTATTCGTAAAAAAATGCTTTTTCCAAACATGCTAATGAGCCACCCTCGTTCCATTTGAAAAAATTGAGATATGATTAAAAATACGATTTGGGCATCTTATAACGGGCCCGGACAAGACACGTAAATCATTAGACGCTCAAATCTATTTTTCCAAGGCTCCTTGATTAAAAATTAGTGTTTTTAACACATCCGTGGTTATTTGATGTTTTGGCTAACATAATAATATATACTTTACCGTTTTATTATTACTAGACAATTTTAAATGTATTAAATTAATTTATTTTTCAAATAAAATACTTTATAGATTTATTTCGTTTATTACTTTAGCAAAATTATATCAAAGTCGTTTAAAATAAAACAGGCAATAAATGAATATTTAATGATTTATAATGTTATAGAAATATGCGTGCGTAGCCGAGAATGGCAAACACACCTATTTTCGTGGAAAAGATTGAAATCTAATGACATTTCACTTTTCTGTAAATGATTTGAAATCAAACCACAAAAAAATAAATTATGGAATTTTAAAATTATAGCATTTTCACTAAAAAATAATTAAAAAAGTGACAATTTAATCAATAACCTTTTTCAAAGATATTATAATACCCCTTATTGTCGAATAGAATAATTAATAGAACAATAAAAAAATACACATCCAAAATATTCTGAAACTTAACGAAGTATTTATAACTTTCCATACCAAAGACTTCTGCGGTGCCTAGAAGTTTCACGTATCTCAAAATATCAGAATAAGGTTCGGTTTTAACACGGTTGTGTCTGCAAATATAATTAGAGGTAGTGTTTATTTATTAAAATAAATCAGCTAGTCTTCTCACATTTTAGCAGCAAAAATCTCAGCTCTGTGTTTACTCAACCTATTCAAATTGCAAACCATGATTCCCGGATAGTTCACATCAGTTATGGGTGTTCCTAGAGGATCTACAGTAATATATGTAGCCTTTTCTTCCCAATCAAAAAAATTGTAGCGAAATATTACCAGTGTGCTGGATAAACTAATCAAAATGACAAATATCCAAAAAATTCTAGAAAAAAGTGCAATAATTTAATAATAATTTCGATTTTGTAGTAGAAAATAAATACTTTTTACACAATGACTGGTTAGTTAAATATTTGCAAGTCGATATATTAGTGTCATCACAAAATTTTTGCACTATATGTATAAAAAAAAGTTTCTTTCTAATCTTCAATTTGTTCATTTTTGGAAATTGAAATAATCCTGAAACTTATTTACTTTTTCTTTTTAACTTACTGTTTATATCAAACACAATGTAGTTACTAAATTCTATTAAATGATTCAAAGTTGAAATTAAATATGCATTAACTCATGGTAAAAAATACTGTTCTTTAGTCATTAATTTTCTATGGCTAATTACATGGTAAAATAAAACATTAATATAAATATTATGTATATACTATACCGATATTCCTAAAATATAAATATGCTTAGTAGCTTAATTGCATAGCGCAGAAACAGGCGAAAAAGTCATAGTAAAACATTTGCCAAAATTTAAGGCAAATCCACTAAACAAAAATAAAAAGACTGTTTAAACTGTTGTGGATCTACTAACAGAGCAACTACAAACTCAATAAACACATAAAGTGGATAGGATTGACGGACGTACCATGTGCAGATTTTGTCAACCAGAAGAAGCAACGACAGAACACAGCGACAGCCTGACAAACGTTCTGTATATTAGGCAATGATAAGCTGTAACGGAATATTTTACAGCGTAGATAACAACCCTAGCTTGTTTGGAGGCCCAAAAAGTCAAAAAAATGGTAAACTCTGTTTCGCATAAGGGACCCTTTCTCTGGGAAAAACTAAATATATATTTTTCTGATAGACTTAAACCCCACCGCTGCCACCAATTTTTTTTTTTCTCTTTTATTTTTCCATATAATTTCATAGAATTGTAATAAAGTAGGTGTTGTGTAAAATCAGTATTTTAGTAGCAGGCCAAGCCCGTAGCTGATCAAGCCTGTCACAGGCCAAACCCGCTGATTTGATCTGTCAAATTAAAGAAGTTGAAAACGTCGAATTTGTCCCAAATGAGAATTTTTAATCAGACAAATCAAATTAGCAGACAAATCAGACAAATCTAATTAGCAGATTGGGCTGTCCAAAATACGAAAGTTTTGGTATGTGACAGGCCAAGTCCGCGGACTAAATCAGCAGGCTAAATCTTGTGGCGTATGGGAGGCCATTGACAAAGAGGTATAGGAAGAATAAGCCATTGATAAAGACCTAAATGGCGGGTTGAGTCTCCAAGTTTCTAGACATTTTGAAAGAGTCGGACTGGAAATCGGACATACAGTTCAGATGAGGACCACAGATCTGAAAAGATCGCGGAGGAACAGGCCAATAGTTACCTCAAAAAATCTTATACCCAGATAAATCAATTTACTTTATGTTCCATAATTAATAAAATATATAAAAAACACTGTCGCGCACAAGTATACTAACAAATTATTGCATATTTTCTTTTATTTGGGAAATTATTTTTACACAAATATTGTTTTTAAAGGAAGGAAACATTAATGAATAAAGATACAATTAGTTCGCCTCACAAGACACTTTTATTTTCGTTTAATAACCATAGATCACAAACAGATTTGTTGCTGAGAACATATACACACAAGAAACATCAACAACAGTAATAACATCAACAACGACAATTTTTCATAATTTGACAAAATTTTAATATTGTAAAGGTAGACATGATATATAATTTTTTCTTCAAGTCGAAAACATTTATTAGAGGTATAAATATTGTTTACGCCCTTGTATATACGTATAACACTATGGGATCACATATAGTCTCATTTAGATATAAGTAGGACACAACCATTTTAGTTTTAGATTATTATCAAACGCAAACGAACTAAAACGACATATATTAAATAAATTAAATATTTATAAAAATAAAAAAAATATGTATATAGGTAAAAAATTTGTACGAACTTAATATTAAATAGACTATAACTAATGAGATTGTGCTATATTGCTATATGGACAAAAATATTTCTTATTCAAAAAAGTTGTATAAGAAAAACACATTTAACTAAGCTAATACGTTTTAAGGAATGGTATGTAAATATCGCATATAAAAAATCTTGAAAGTCGTTACCAACAAAACTTGTTATTTGAACAAAAGTTTTTTTAGATTAGAAGACATTAAATTTTTTTTTGACTATCTATAACCCTCCCTGGAATGTACCGGGTAACCCACTAAGAATAGCTCTATAGGAAATCGTCATGAGAAATATGCTGGAAATTAACACGGTAAATTCGAATATACTGTCTATCGATAGATCAGTGAATTAATAGAGTAAAACACATACCGTGCTGGAAACTGTTACTTTTGGGTCGGTATTTATATGTGTGGAAGTAAATCGCATAGGGATCTTATTAAGTCGGAGTGAGAGAAATGCGACGGTGTGCTCTTGCGGCGTTGCCTTTTCCTATCAAGTAAAGTAAAATCACGATCAAAAACCGCTTATTTTTAAAAGACTTTTTTTCGAAAAGATAACTAGATAAAATCATTAGATATGTTTCTGAGCATCTGTAATGGTATTATAAGGATATCGTTAGAGTATCCAATTTTTTATAACGAGAAAACGTCAGTAATCGCGATAATTTAAAAACACGCTATAACTTAAGAATCACTTTAGAAACTTTTTTTTTATTTTGAAGATCGGATCTTTTACAATATGTTTAAATAAGAAAAATTCGACAAGGTTGTTCTTTTCCATTCAAAAATTTTAAACAACCCAACCATTTACTTTTAGTGTATAGCAATTTTCAGTAAGCGTGTAACTTTATATTTATAAAGATTTTCACATACTGTCTGCGAAGAAAATATAGCAGAAATATTAAGAAAGTTTTTGAAAAAAACTACAATCAATTATTTCTAATAGATTTCGAGATATTGATTTTTGAATTCAGAGTTCTAATAGCGCAATCACTGTCAAACACAAACTCAATTCCACTTATTTTTACTAAAAATGCAAGTGTTTCTAACTTGCACTTAAAAATTTTTAAGCTATAGGGAAAATTACAACGACTCGTTAATAAATAAACAAATAAAGTATCACGAGACGTAATTAAATCGTGAAGCTGAACACACGGTGTATACCTTTCCCTAGAACTTTAAGTACTGACAGAGGTACTGATTTACTGTCCTCCATTCACGCAGTTGTGCAGCTCTGAACTGTTCAAGAACGCGATACTCTTACTCCATTCAATTGAGTCATAAAGTTCAGAACTGTTCCGCGCCATATGGAGGCACCAGGCTATCGCGCACAGCACCTTTCAGAACAGTTCTCGAGTAGCCCAGGGCGTAAAGCTCTGGAACTCGAAATTCGTGAATAGAGGACAGCAATTGCTCTGGGCTACTTAGAACGGTTCTGAAAGGAGCTGTGCGCGATAGCCTGGTGCCTTCATATGGCGCGGGACAGTTCTGAACTTTATGACTCAATTGAATGGAGTGAGAATATCGCGTTCTTGAACAGTTCAGAGCTGCACAACTGCGTGAATGGAGGACAGTAAATTGGGTCGACCGGTCGACTGCGACAAATCTGCTATGTCCCCTTCCACGTCTCCTAGCAATGTGTAAAGTTTCTCGGTTTATTTCATACGTTTGACGTGTTTACTGTTCTCTCTTTGTTCAGTACATTACAAACGCATTGTACTCTTCTGATATACGGAAATCTCGACCCAAGACTAACCTTTGCCAGCCCTTAGTGTAATGTTATCAAACTGTCTTTAAATTTGACTAAACTTAAAAGAACAAGTTCTGCAATTAACGACTTCCTTAAAAGTATTATAATTATTGATTAGATATAAATAGAAAAATACTATCACAAAACACACAGTACATATAAAAATATTGAAAAGAGAAATGCTTTTAGTGAAATTCATTGCAAAGACTTAAGTTTCTTTTTGTTGCTTTTATCAACAAACTGATTGTCAATATTTTATTGTATAGTCTTATTGATTATGTAAAATACTTTATTTAATACTAGAGAAGACTTATTTAGGATATGTTTTGAGTTTGCAGGACTAAAAAAATAAGTTGATATGAACAACTGTTTATGTAATTTTTTAGCTAGAAATATCAGTGGCTAACATCAATTTACATTTTTAGCCTTAAAAACCACTTTCAAATTGAACTTTATTAGGGTACACAATTAAACATTTTAAACATGCAATATTTGAGTATAATTTTATGTTTAAGCATTGTATTTATATTGATAAGCAATACAATAGCAATATTATAGTGGCACAATATATAAAAATATGTTTCCTTTTGAGAACCCCTGTAAGTATAGTTATAGTCCAACAAGAGAATGTATGGCACTGACATGTAATCACTCATTGTAAATGAAACATAAATTGTAATTTTCTGGCAATTTTTGAATGTAGTCTGTCAAAATCGTCCACTTTCTTGCTAAAACTTTCTTGCCTTTACTTTCTTTGAACAATTGACATATCTGTCATTACAAAAAGTACTGATTTGTATATATTTCAGATCATAATATATTGGTATAAATATAATATCTAATAAAATATTGTTTTGTCGGGGTGTTTAACTGAAACTTTTCTTATTCACTAAAATAGTATTTATATGTTTTTTTTGTATATATTTTTAAATTATTTTAAGTTAATCATTTTATAACACTTGAACAATCTGATAAACCCATTTATAATTTATAAAAACTTTCTAATATTAAAACACTGTTAATATATCGCTGTAATGAGGTATTTTTAAGTCTTATTTATCATCTACGGTTCTAAAATTGAACGTGAAGACAACACTTGTTTATCTTTAGGACATATCTAGTCAAAAAAAAACGTTCCAAAGACTTTTGTTTTCTATAAACATGAAAAACTGTGAAATTCAGAGAAAACCTTGATTACTATTTTTTGCATTTTTTGTCGCTGCTTTTATTAAACTTAAAAAAGAAAAATAAGGAGTAACAGTTATTTAACTACACGAAAAATATAATAACTAAAATATTTATAAAAAAACAACTTTGGAAAATAGACAAAAATATACTTTTGAGAAATCAAATGTGCTTTTTTTAAATTGTGAACAATTATTTCATTATAAAAATTGAGTATTTTGTACAATTAGAATTTTAAATGACAACATTGGTGGCAAAATTCACAATCTATTTCAATTTTTTATCAAAATTGAATGAGCAGGCATTTTTGTCAAGTCTATCTTCATTATTATCCTTATTATCTACCATTTTTGTCTATAAATCAACAGAACTAATTAGGTTGTATAACTTATTGTTATAAATACAATGCTTCTAATAACAATGTATAATGTACTTAAAGGTTCTTACTTACACCTTGTATATTCCTTATTCTATTAAACATATAACAACATTTATATTATTGTATGTACTTCATGAAAAAGGTATTCTTAATCCTTATTATGTAGTTTCGTGTGCGTTTTCAAGTGGTATTTCCTTCTGAACCTTTTTCCACACTCCATACACAAATATGGCTTCTCATCAGAATGGGTTTTTTCATGTTGTTTTAAATTTTTAGGATCGCCAAAAGCTTTATTGCACACTTTGCATTTCAATGGTCTTTCGCCAGTGTGTTGCCTAAAAATCCACAGTTCTTGTAAAATGCTCAAGCATTTACTTTTAAAACCTAAACTACATCTAACTATCTAGCGGAATAATAAAAATAACTACATCTAGCGGAAAAACTTGTTAACACTAGACTTCTTGAACAATGATTCTGAATATCTATCATTTTATTTATTTTTAAGGATATAAGTATACCTGATATGGATATTTAAACAATAAGTTGTTGTAAATTCTTTGCCACAATACCCACAAGGATGTACATTTTCTCCAATATGAGCCTTGATATGCCTGGATATAGCTGCCGAATGAGCAAATGATTTCTTGCAAATTTCACAAACAAAAGGCCTCTCCCCAGTATGAACCCTCATATGCGATTTTAACCTGCCACTAGATACAAATCTGAAACAAAAAAAATAGTATATTTAGGAAAAAAAATAAATGAATTAAATAATGAAGTTACTTTAATTGACAAACATCACAACCGTAAGGTTTGTCCCCAACATGTCTCCTTATGTGAATAGTAAGTGTGGAAGAGTGTGTGAATGATTTCCCACATATTGAACACAAATATGGATCACGTCGTTTCTTTTTAGGTGCTTTGTAGTTTTCATAACCACTATGTTTCCTCAGATGAGCCGTCAATGTGCCAGACTGTGTAAAAGAGCGCTGGCAAATAAAGCAGGAAAATGGTTTATCTCCAGTATGTGTCAACATGTGACGCTGAACATCAGTAGCTCTATAATAATACCACTATAAACTACTGCTCTATAAAATAAACTAAAACTTACCTGGTAAACTTTCTCATACAGATATGACATTTCAGTTTCTCACCATTCGAATGACTCTTTATGTGCTTATTCAATAAATATTCTGAATTTAAAGTTTTCGAACAAATCTCACAAGAAAATTTACCTTTATTTTCTACATTTTCACCTTTAGAATTAGAATTACTTTTTTCCTCCTCAGTCTCAACGAAGGAATTTGTTTTTTCACAGCTCAAAAAATCAGAAGAATCACATGACTGACTTAAAGGTTCCTTATCTATAGTGCCATCGACTTCTGGCAAGTTATCATTCGCTGAAACTAATTCTCTGTCCTCTGTTAAGTAGCTTAAATTGACCTGGCTAAAATCAGTTGAATCGATTTGATCTAATTCATTACTAGTAGTTTCAGGTATCTCAGGTACATAAGGATACAAATCCTTTTGGGATTGACATAGCTGTTGCAGTCTGTTCTGTGTATCGTAACAAAGTTCTCTGTATAAGTAACATATTGCTAATTTTTCCAGACAACTAATGCAAATATTATTCGGTAACATATCACTGTCGAATATCTAAAAATAATATTAGCTTACTTACAATACTGTAATTACTATTATTTATAATTATATTTACCTCAATTGACGTACACTTGTACAAAATAGAATAAAGTGGTTCTTCTTTATTTGCTAAACTCAAAACAGCAAATAAAGAAGTTAAATTGCTTTCTGCTGACATACAAGTACGGCACAGGTTCTTAATATTCTTATACAAATCTGCACTCATATTGTAAGTTACTTAATAACGCACTCTAAAAAGTTAGTTAATGCAACAAGTTCTGTCAGAAAATCAATAAACAAATCTTCCTTGAAGCTCGCTACTTTTCCTTTTAATTGCTCAAAGAACGCAATGCAAGAAAGATTTTGAATTAACTATAATAAATGTAACATATAATCTTACTGTTTGCTATTTAACTTTGAAGTTACATATATTAAAAAAAGATAGTGTAATAATTTTAAGAACATTACCAAAATATTCTTAAATTTCTTACCCCTTTTAAATTTTTAGGCACAGAAAATTACACCTGACGACCTGACATCATTTGACATGCTCAGCAAGGACAAATGACAAGGATAGAAATAGAAATGTTTGTAGAACGATAAAAAGAAATAGAAAATGTTATCAGTAATCAGCGCCTCCTACCTCTATATCTCTGAGTATGTACTAAATTATTTTTTTCCCTCCATAAATTTAAAATTTAAACCGCCAATTTAAAATAATCAACAATACTTTTTTTAATATCACAGATTTTATTGTCATTGTCTTTATTAACTTTATTAGTATATCATAAAATTTATAAAGGCATTTTTTAATTTTGCCGTCTTGCTTATTTTGTGGTTTTAAATTTTAAATCATAAGCAAAATAATAATGTTATCGTTCTCGATTTTTTATTAATATTATTGATTAATACCTATTACCGGCTAGCTCTACCGATCGAGATCGATAATCTACTTGTTTGAATTTTATAGGGAATAAAAAGGATCTTACCTAGAAAATAAAACCATTACGCTTGTATTGGACACCTGCTCGCCTCGAAAATTCCACCTTATTCTTTTTGTGACCGTGACCATCCCGTGACGACGTCTTTCGAAGCCGGTGAGCGACTCTCTTCTTAATCATCTTTTCTTTTACAGTGTTGCCACTTCCGGGGTTGCCAATTTTTGTATTTTAATTAGGGAGGTATCGATAACACCCCCCCTGCTAAGATGGAATTTTCGTGGTTTTTTCAAAATGTCGTTTTATTACTAAAGTTCCGAACAAAAATTTAGTAACATTAATTCCTTTTAACAACATAGTAACTATAAAATCAAAACAATTTACAATAAGACTTAGTCATAGAAATTCAAAAAAAATACTTATAACCAAGTTCCTTATAACCGTTCAGTCTATAAAACAAGAATCTAGTCTATGCATATATCACTAAAATTTTAACTTTTCGTATATCCAGCGGCCTACTAAATTTTTTTTTTTTTCTTTTCTTTACACAAGAAAACAAAATTCAGAAAGAATTCAAAGAAAATAATACAATTAAGGTAATTATTTACATGTCTTCGGACTTGTAACATAAAAATAATCAATCCTACAGTTTTTCAATCTGCAAGAATGTTATGAAATTAACATTCAATTAATCTTATCTAAGACTAATTAATAAAGATATTTCTATATCTAAAACAAAGTTATACTAGTAACTTAGTGATATGAGTACAAGTTGGTATAACTAAACTGTTAATTACAAACATAATCGTTAAGGAAAATTGGTGCTTTACGAGTACGAGTAGTCAATTTAGGGTATTGATCAGGTAATATGCAGGTAGGCTTACTATCGTCAGAATTCCATGATGATACAGAGCTATTGTCCGAACAAACTTCAATTTCAATGGAAGACCTGTCAAGATACGTCATGACGTTTTCAAGCTCCATATCGGGATTACTTGACTGGGGGCTTATTCCATATTCCCTGTTCTCTTCTTCTAACTCCTCTGAGCTGACAGAAGTAAATGATCCAACTTTTGGATTTTTCTGGAAACTGAGTAGTTGTTCGGGAGGTATCGGTCTAATGTCATCAATATGAATTTTACAGTCTACACCATTCCTTGATACAATGTAGACGGCCTCACTCAAGGGGCTAATGATAGTAAAGGGTCCTTCCCAGGCAGGATTAAAGGCTTCTCCAGGTTTAGTGGTCATGGATCGAACCAACACTTGGTCTCCAGACTGAAACGTTGGATGGCGTGACATACCATTCGTGTATTTGCCTTGGTATGCTTCTTGGTTTTCCCTAGCCTTCTGCAAACGCTGTTCTCGCATGTGTCCTCTATTGATAACAGGTACTGCGAATTTGGGATGATCCCGTTCTCCTGGGGCACTAAGCGAATATCCCAGCAGACTCATAGCAGGGGATAGTCCTGTTGCGGCATTTGTTCGGTTCCTTAAACAAAATAAACAACGAGGCAGTCTCTTGTCCCAATTTTGTGTGTTTTTATTAAATAATTGAGCTTTTAAAACTTTTTTGATTTCTTGATTTCTACGCTCAACTGGGTTGGCACGTTGATGATATATTGGTGAAGTTACGTGATTAATATGATATTCTTTACAGAAATTTTTCCAATTTTCTGACATAAATTGTGTACCGTTATCGGATATAATGGTTTTAGGATAACCTAGTCTACAACATACTTCATTATTCAAAAAATGAATTATGTCTTTAGACCGAACAGTAGGTACTGGTTTAGCTTCAACCCAGCGAGTAAAGAGATCTTCTACAGTAATCAAAAAACGACAACCTGAACCCGTTTTCGGATAAGGTCCCATTATGTCGATACTAAAAATTTCTCCCGGATTAGTCGCAACATGAGCAGTCATCGTGGCTGATTGTTGTAAGTTCCTACCTTTGACACTTAGGCAAACTAAACAATTTTTTGTATATTTAGAAATGTCACTTCTCATTTCTGACCAATAATAATATTGATTAATAGTGTTAAACATTTCATCACGACCTGGATGACCTGCCCATGGCGAATCATGATAAAAATAAAGCACTCTTTCAATTACATTTGTAGGAACTATTACTTGACCTGTGTCCTGTTTAAAAAGTAAATCATCTTTAACTAAATAATTGTTCAATAACTGACGATCATTTGAAGAACAAGAAAGATTGCTTTGTAAAAAATTCCAGCGAGAAACCTTTTGTCTTAATTCGGGATCGGTAGTTTGAGCTAAGCAGATGTTTTTATAGAGAGATGAGTCATCAATAGGAGCTAAATAATTTAAATGAATTAAATTTGAGTTATTAATTTCGAATTTTTGGTCCTGTCTATTTTCAGGAGGAATCAATCGTGACATGTCATATTCCGTTAACGATGTCTGTTCGTTTCTAGCGTTACGCGATAGAAAATCGGGAAACAAATTTAATTTACCTGGACAATGTTCTATGTCAAAATTGAACTCAGATAACAAAAGAGACCAACGAGTCAGTTTAGCCTTAGAATCTCTATATTTATTAAGCCAGAGCAACGCTCTGTTGTCGGTTATTAATTTAAATTTTCTGTCCTCAAGAAACTGTCTATACTTTTTTATAGCCCAAACAATGCATAAACACTCCTTTTCGTTAATATGATATTTTCGCTCGGTCATATTTAAACGCGCACTACTATATGAGATCACTTGCTTTTTCCCCCCTTCGCCCTCTTGAAACAGTACAGCTCCCATTCCTAAGTCACTAGCATCAGTCTGTAGTAAGAAAGGTAATGTAGGATCAGGACGATGCAATTTTAGAGGTTGTGAAAATGCATTTTTTGTTGCGTCAAATGCACGTTGTTCGACTTCAGTCCACTTCCACTTAGCTTTTTTACATAAAAGATCAACAAGAGGAGCGGTTAATATGGATAACCCAAACACATACTCCCTTAACCAATTTATTGTCCCAATGAAAGATTGTAACTGTTTTTTGTTTTTTGGGGTCGGATAATTTAAAATTTCATTTAAATGATATTCTTGTGGAGTATTGCAATCTCCTTTTATATGATGACCAAGAAAATTTAAATTATTTTTAGCAATATGACATTTTTTTGGAGAGATTTGGAGACCATGAAGGCTAAGCCGCTCTAAAATAAGATGTAAATGTTTCAGATGTTCTTCATGATTTCGTGAATAAACAATTATATCGTCCAGATAAACTAATGCGAATTTATGTAAAAAGCCGGTCAAAACCTCTTCGGACATTAATTTTTGAAAACTAGTAGGGGCATTTTTAAGTCCAAAGGGCATTACCGTGAACTGATAATGTCCTCCGTCAGGCGTTGAAAAAGCAGTAAGAGGTTTTGAGCGTTCTGACAGACCGACCTGCCAATACCCGCTTCTTAAGTCAAGAGAAGTAAATATCTTAGCCACTCCTAACTCTTTCAAAGTTTCATGCACTTTAGGAAGTTTAGTAAATTCATCCTCGGTTACTTGATTTAAAGCCCTATAATCGACACAAAACCTAGGCTTTTTATCGGGACGCTCTATAATAACAGGTGATGATGAATAAGGAGAGATAGAAGATTCAATTACTCCTGCGGATAACATTTCCTGAATTTGTTCATTCATTATTCGCTTTTTGTGTTCACTTAAAGGATATGGCTTAATTTTGATAGGTTTATTAGAATTTAATCGAATATCATGTTCAATTGTACGGGTAACTGGTCTCTTTAGACTTTCATCAAAAAGATAAGAATATTCATCCAAAATAGCTTCGTACTGGTCTTTAATGAGATCATCGAGATGATTTAATGAAATATTATTTATAACTGTTCCAGAAGGAGGAGTTCCATTAGCAAAATAAATAGTTCTTCGAATATTTTTACCAAAATACATACAAGATCTAACAGTATCTAGAACTACTTGTTGTTCTAAAAACCAAGGATACCCTAAAATACATTCTTCAGATAAATTTGGGACTATCAGAAATTTTGAATTTAATGTTACATCAAGGACTGTGTATTCTAACTCAAAAATACCATGAATATCCATTTCTACTGTACCACAACCAATCTTAACTATTTGTTTATACGAATTAGGCAATTCAGAAAAAAACTGAGAAGATATAAGATTAACTGAAGCTCCCGTATCGGCTAACGCATTTATGTAAACATTATTAAATTTAATCATAATTTTTGGAGTTTGTTTAGAGAGATCGGCGATCGATATACTGCCTGCTGAAAACATGTTTAGGGACGGCCAGCTACAGGCTTCTGTCCTCCCCTCCAGTTTTCCTGTAGTGTATGATTGGCTGAACTGTGTTCTTGTTGATTTGGTTGATGCCCATTAACGTGATCTCTTCTGTTACTCGTAACTGTTTGTTCTTGTGATCTTTGGTTATAAGGGTTTCGACTACAATCTTTATGGAAATGCCAAGCTCCGCAATATTTACAGGCACTGTGTGGACGGTTTTCTTGCCTTAACTTATTTTGTGTGGCTCTATTTAGGTCTTCGATGGAAGATTCCTTTGTAGTATATTGCTGGTTAAGATGTGTATATGTTAGGTCCTTTTCTATTGCCGTAACAACTTGTAACAGTTTTTGTATAGTGTTAAATTGGAGTCCTCTTAGTCTGGATCGAATATCTGGCACTAATTGTTCCATTATAATATTAATAAGGTGTATTTCGGATGCTTGAGGTATCAGTCTATAGAATAATCCTGTTTCTTTGTAATAAATACGATGGCTGACTCGTTAGTTTTCTGTTTTCTCCGTACAATTGTGTTGTTAGGTGAGCGATAACTGCAGTGTTGCTAAATGCATCCATGAACTGTGACTTAAACATTTCCCAGGATAAGGCAATATGTTTGTAGGGTTGATACCATTGTTGTGCTGGGCCCTTTAAAAGTGAAGCAGCAATGTTTGTTCTTTCTTTGATATTGACACGTTCTTGACGAAACAGTTCTTCTAGATTCTTCAGAAACACTGTTGGATCTTCAGACTCGTTACCAGTAAATGTTGGATAGATTATTTCTTTCTTGTGGAAGTTTTGAGCTATCATTTGAACTGCGGATAAAAATTCTCTTGACATATCCTGATGATTTTGAGGATATTCTGGTGTTTTAGTTTGTATGTGATTTGATTTATTGGTTATGTTGATTTTTGGTAAACTGTTCTCGATAAGGCTTGACTGATAAAACTTATCATTTTGTTCACTACTGTGTTGTTGAAAATGACACTTATTGTTGAATGGAGTATAATCATACACAGGAGGTACTTCGAAAGCTGTCTCCGAAGATGGACAATGCTGGGTTGGACGACTTGTAAACTTGTAACATTCTTGAAATGTATAATTTGGATATACGTAATTTTCTGGTACATCTTGGTATATATATTGTTTTGGATGATATAATGGAGAGAAATCTTCGACTTCTGTTTCATCTAAGGTCTCAAACGAGTCAAAAAACTCGTCACCGTCACTATCAACGTAGGCCATCGTCAAACCGATTCTCAAAACTCTAAATATCTTTACGGGAATGTTTTTAATGATAAGGATACTCGATTATAAGAATATTTTAACTAAAACTTGATGAAACCAACTCCAATTGCAAGAAAATTAAAAGTTATTGTGAAATATCCAATATTTCAAAATTTTTTCAAGGTCAAATTGTCTAATTTAGGTACTAGGAAACATTGAAAGAATCAGTCGTAAACCAAAAGATATATATACTTAAAACTAAATAAAACACAATATTTTCTTTATTTACAATCAAAATCACATCATATAAGTATATATTACAATTACAGTCGTAGATCCGAACAGAATCGTTCTATTCAGGCCACACGTATTGGGCGCCATGTTATCGTTCTCGATTTTTTATTAATATTATTGATTAATACCTATTACCGGCTAGCTCTACCGATCGAGATCGATAATCTACTTGTTTGAATTTTATAGGGAATAAAAAGGATCTTACCTAGAAAGAAAACCATTACGCTTGTATTGGACACCTGCTCGCCTCGAAAATTCCACCTTATTCTTTTTGTGACCGTGACCATCCCGTGACGACGTCTTTCGAAGCCGGTGAGCGACTAGCGACTCTCTTCTTAATCATCTTTTCTTTTACAGTGTTGCCACTTCCGGGGTTGCCAATTTTTGTATTTTAATTAGGGAGGTATCGATAACAATAAATATGAAAACTTTAAAATTTAAATATCTTTCTTTGTCTGTAATTGCTGTAATCTTTTGTCCATCTTTTGTCTATGGTCAGTGATATTGACCTATAAAATTTTTAGGTTATCTTTAAAAAAATAAGAATGTACTTATTTTGAAATTTTGTTCTTATTTTTAGGAAAATAATTTATAACTGATCGCTTTTACGGCTTTTATATTTATGTAAGTAATCGTTCTTCCATACTGACAATCATAACAATCAAGAATATAATTTATTGAATTTTCTATTTTTAAATATTTTAAAATAGATTTCCCTACAATAGCTACAGTTGTCAAATGGATATTATTTCAACTTTTTTTAGATTAGTATAATTTATGAAATAAATGTCGAATATAGAAAAGAGTGAAAACAATGCACAGAATAATAAAATTATTGATAGAATTCCATTGCTTCGAACGCAATCATCACCAGAAGTTGAAGCATCAAAGAGAAATTTGCACAATAGGTATTAGAAGACTTGTCCTTTTGAGTAGTTATATGTTGTATTTTTTCATAGTATAAATGTGTATTTGTAGGGGCAAGAATAGGTATATTTCTTCAATTCCTCACTGGAATTCAATAGCAAATCCATTGGATCTGCCTGATAGCCATGCCAATGATTTTGCAAACAGCAAGTCTTCTACTGAGTATATAACTAAAAGTTTCCAATCTGGATATGATAGCAGTAATCCTCATAATGATATTTCCGCAATGTCAGTAGTGAGTTTCTACAAGAGTGCAGATAATTTAGAGGACCAAATGAATACCAGCAGGTATAGAAGAATTTTAATTAGTATAGTAATTAACTTAACACTCTATAATACATTAGAGCTAATTAGCTAATAGAGTTGACCCTACATTTCAATACATAACTGTGTGTTGATGTTATTGATTTTTTCTTTGTGGTCTATAGTCTATATACCAAATTTTAACATGAGTGTTTATCCCAATAATATTCATTTTCAAGGCTGGAGGTGTTACTTTTTATTATATTTTTACTGTTACTAATAATAAATATTTTTTAGAGATTTTTTGGAGACTGACAGTAATAAAGTAGTTGACAACGAACTCAAGCAATTTGAAGAAAATGCACTTGCACCAAATATGAAAGCACCAAATCACACTCATTTAGCTAATATTAAGGAATCAGTTTGTAAATGTGAGAAAATGACTTGTCCCCATCCTACAATATTCTTTAGAGATGGTTTAAGGTATTTTTATTTAAAATATATATTTTAACAAATTTTGATATTTTTTATTTTCAATACAATTGAAATATATTTCAGATAATAATTTAATAGTTACCTATATAATTACATAGTTAAAAGTAGTTAATAAATAAATATTGTGCATTTCTTTTATTTTAAAGATCTGTAGATTATGTCCTAGTTTGGGATGCTTTAGAAGAGGATGCTGTTAATCCCGTTGCATATTCAAAGAGGCAAATTTTTGAATCAAATTTGGTCAAAGAAGGTCTGGAAATAGAATACGAACCACAAGAAACAAGTGGACTTAATTTTATTAAAGTTAATATTGTAATACTGATAAAATACAAAGAGTTCACTGATATCTTTTTATAGATTCATGCTCCAAGAGAAGTACTGAGAAGATATAGTGAGATATTAAAGTTAAGAATGCCTATGAAAGAGGTAAAAGAAAGTTAAAGAGTTTTGTAATTTTTTTCTGTTGCTGATTTAATTTGTTCACTCTACATATATCTATCTACACCATCATTAATTTTTTTTAAAGCATGTTTTTATTTGCCCATAGGAATTATGTAAACAGCCCAGAGAGTATCAGTTAAATTTTTTTGGTAATCCCAGTTCTTTTTTTACTTGCAAGGTACATCAGTTTGATTTTGGAATTTTTGATCATTATTTATGCGCTTATTTCTCACCTACTAACAATTAACAATCTTATGATCTGTCTTTTTTCGCTTTTTTATACTAATTTTCATTTTTTTACATATAAAAAGTTATTTATTGTGCAGAATGGATTGATATACCTGTATAAGAATATATAAACAAAGCTAATATTTAGTGTACGCAAAAACAAGTTTACAAATTATTTTTTTATTATTATTATGATATAAGTCTGTTCAACGGGAGGATCTCTGACAGCAGTGACAGTTATGTCTATCAGTTTAACTGAAGGTGCATCCAAACTTTCCTAGAAACGGCGTATCGGCATAACGACCTTTGCTGGAAATCGATTCAAGGTCGTTTCTAGGATAGTGCGGATGCACCCTCACTGGAAAATTGTCATTTCTGTCATTTTTTTTTGGATGTCGTCTGTCAAAATTTTCCCTGAGTTGTTGGGCAGACTATGGATATAGAGTAAATTAAATCAATCTATTCTATTGTTGGTGCAAGTCTTGGTGAAGGTCAAAGCTACAGCGTCATAATATCTGAATATAGCTTTTCTCACTAAATTTTTTCTTATTTCAACATTTGATATTTTTTTAAAAAAACATGACATGAACATTGGAATAAATAGTGAAAATAAATATAGATTGTTATATATTTTTGAGAAGCTCATAGCAAACCAGATCTTTGACCAGATCATACAATTTATAAATATACAGGGTGTCCCATTTAAGAAAACATTACTATAGTTCATATCATCGAAAATTTTATTTTCGTAGAATAACAGATCACGCCACTGTATTCTCCGTAAAAAGTTCTGCAATAAACATTTTTCACCTTCTTGATACCTTTCACAATATAAGGGGAGTGTCCCAAATTCCAAAATTTTCAAAAAGACCCTGTAGCTTAGAAACGAAGAGGGCTATGAAAATTTTGTTTGCAGCATCTTTCGTTTGACAAAAAAGTGGGACAGGTTTGTGCAAACCGCATCCTTCAGTCCTCACTAATAACAGATATACCGTATGATTTCAACTAAAATGGGACACTCTGTACAGAGAATTTAATCGTGTGTATCGTGTGGTATGGTTATTACCAGGGTTGAAAAAAATCATGATTTTTTTTTAAAAAATCAAAAAAATGAGATTTTTTTTATTTAAATCAGATTCTTTGATTTTAATTCAAAACAATATTTAACTCGGATTTCCAAATGACTAGGACTTATTTCCAATTAAAGTCCTATCATAAATGGCTAAATCTATACCCCGATACTGATAACATTAACAGTTCTACTGGGCTATCACTAATAACAGGCTATCACTAATAATGGATATACCGTATGATTTCAACTAAAATGGGACCCTCTGTACCGAAAATTTAATCGTGTGGTATGGTTATTACCAGGGTTGAAAAAAATCATGATTTTTTTTTAAAAAATCAAAAAAATTGTATTTTCTGTCATTTTTTGGATGTCGTCTGTGGAAATCTTCTGTAATTCGTTGGCCAGACTTTACTATACTTTTATATTAACCATAAACCATATTATTACTTAGTGCTTATCGAAAATGTATTTAGATTCCAGCTCTAAGACAAGTGTCTCAACAAACAAACTCCATTTTGGAAGGCATCAATGACCAGTGGGAAAAAATTAAAGCCTGGGTTTTAGTAGACAAGGAAAAATTTCCCGAAAAAGGTCAACAAAGATTTACTGCTGTTTACAGTAGAGATAGAGAATATTTGTAATAAATTAATTTATCAAGATTTTTTATAAGTAACATAATAATATTGTTTTAGATTTGACACTGAGTCTCCTTGTTTCTTTACTCCAGCAATTCATTCTCGAATTGTTCAGTTTATTTTGGACAGGAAAAGGTTTAGTAACAATTTCAATGACGATTTTGCGTTTGGAGTAGAACGCTTGTTAAATGATAAAATTTATACAGCTGCCTATCCCCTGCATGATGTAAGTATTATAAAACTCCCTTAAAATCTGAATTTATTTTGTAAATAAACGTTTTAGGGCGATTTAAAAACGGAAGGTACTTTTCGTAATCTCCTGTATAATGAATGGGCTTCTGTAAGGAAATGGTATAGGTATCAGCCGTTGGATTGCATTAAGGAATACTTTGGTGTAAAGATAGCTTTGTATTTTGCTTGGTTGGGATTTTATACTCATATTTTGATGCTACCTGCTGTAGTTGGGTTAGCATGCTTTATTTATTCGGTTTCAACGATGTATAATCATATACCAAGGTAGGAAATTCATTTGTACATCATTTTAAACAGCAGCTATCCACTGTTACTTAGATTGATGCCTTATTTCAACTTTCACAAGTAACTTCATAATAAATGCATGATAAACAAAATTCTGTTCTTAGTTTGATATTGCGATTCTAGTGTTTGAAATAAATTAGCTTATTTCCAGTAATGATATTTGTAATATGGAACTAAATACCAAAATGTGCCCTCTATGCGACGTGTGGTGTAACTATTGGAACCTAAAGGAAGCTTGTGTTCATTCTAGGATAACTTACTTATTTGATAATCCCACCACTGTATTTTATGCGATTTTCATGTCTTTTTGGGGTAAGAATTGTATCAGTTTATTTGAACTAATCTTGTCGTCACTCGTTTTGGGAGAGAGACAAAAGATCCTAAATTTTAAAAATGTTATTTATTTATCCTAATTATTTTTTATACATTTGAATAATTCTTATAATGCCATGTTTTCCAGTTTTGTACAAAATAAATACACCATGCAGTGAGTTAGAGCATTTTGAAATATCCTGAATCCTGTTAGTTATGAAATGTGGTCAGCTAAAATGCATAACTCCCTAAGCTTGCTGATTAAGTACTTTTTCAACATTTCCTTTACACTATTTTACTTTCTTCATATTATATACAGTATTATTAATATAATTTAATAATTAAAACGTACGAATTTTGTATCAGAATAAAATTATTAACGTATGTAACGTCCTAAGCAAGACGGAAGTCTTAATTTAGATCGTTTTAACGGAGGGACGGGACTCATTGAGAGCTGACAATCATTGGGGATGTCGAAATCTTCCTTGACTCGTTGGAGAGACTATACTTTACTTTAGGAAAACATTTCAGGATCCTCTTCTCTCATTTCAGCTTCAAACGGCAATAACTTGTTTAATTTAAATGGAACACCCTGTATATTTTACGAGAATCAGATGCACAATTTAATTGTCTATCAAATTATATTATACCATTTTTTACCTATCTCTTTAAGTTTCCGTAGAAAATGCATTTTTTTGTAATTTAGAACTTATTTATCAATATACAAACTAATAATTATTTAAAATATATTTTTAGACACTCTGTATAAGGTAGTATTATTTTTATTATTGCAACACAATAACTGATCAATAAATAAACTTCATTAAATATTTAGTATTAAAAACATTGATACCCTTGGAGAAATGAAGCTTTAAAATTTTTACTGCAATTTCACAAAATTGAAAATATTTCAAAAACGGTAAGGTTTAAGTATAATAAACCTTAATCAAATTTACCTTTATTTTAATCGTAGAAACTAAAAATGTAATAATATACAGGGTGTTCCTTTTAAAAAAATACAACTTTGATATTTTTTATTTATTTGGGACACTCTGTATCTTGTAAAAATATTTTTAAATTGTAGCTCTAATAGTCCTTCAACGAACCCCAAACTTACAATTTGTAAAAATCTCATCGTTTAGCTACAATACTCCGTGTCGTATGTGGTGAACAACCCTGTAGATTGAAATTTAAAATTCATTTTGTTTTAAGCAAAAATGTCAAAAGTTGACATATGATATGTCGTTCTATTCAGAATGTCATTTTCTATCGAATGATGTATAAAAATTACCGAAGGTGCCATTTAAAAATCAAAAGTTGTAGTCATTTCCGGTGAAACAGGAAGTGGCCGAAAAGAATTGAATACGTCAATCAATCCTAATTTATGTCATATACTAACGTACCAAATCTCGTTTTTTTAATTGATAAAATAAAAAAGTTACAGGGGTGAGCCACTTTTGAGACGCACCCGGTATATGTCCCTAAATTTTTGAGTTATAGTCTCTCCAATGATATGATCCCTGACAGAGACAGTTGTTGTCAGTAATTTTGTACACAGTGTAATCCCGTCGTCCGTCGTTCCGTTACTCCAATCATATTTAAGTATGAAATGTCATTTTTGAAATAAACCAATAAAATTTCATAAAATCAACGACGCACGACGCGTTATGGATTCATGGTGAACAAATTAAGAATGTAATTATTTTTTAGCTACGACTTTCTTAGAAATGTGGAAGCGTTATTCGGCCGAAATAACGCATCGCTGGGACCTGACTGGTTTTGATGTTCAGGAAGAACATCCTCGACCACAGTACTTAGCGAGATTAGCACACGTCAAGAAAAAATCAGTGAATATAGTAACGAACACTGTGGAACCCCACGTGCCTTTTTGGAAAATCAAAGTCCCAATGACGATATTTAGTTTTTCTATCGTTTTGTTATTGGTAAGTTGGAATCCATAAATTATTATTTAACTATATCTTATTAGATATTAAATTTCGGTATGGAGGCTGCATATTTGCGCCAGCGCTTGCGCTATAATCAATTGTGAAAGTAAGAGTTGTTTCTTAACGCCGCTTTACAGTTCGCTATTTTACTTGCATGCAAGAAAAGTTGCAGCAATTTTACTTGCCGCATATAATGCAGTTCACTTTACAGTCAGCAATTTTTAGAAAATTTTATTTATAGAAATATTTTTGTTGCATACGGAATGATCAACTTCGAGATTTCCGTATGTAAGAAGAGTACAATGCGTTTATAATGTACTGAACAAAGAGAGATTAGTAAAAACGTTGCCAAACGTATGAAATAAACCGAGAAACTGCACATTGCTAAGAGACGTGGAAGGAGATATAGCAGATTCGTCGCGGTCGACCGGTCGACTCAATCAGTACCTCTCAGTACTTAAAATTCTAAGGGAGGGTGTACATCATGCGTTCAGCTTTACGATTTAATTACGTCTCGTGATACTTTATTTGTTTATTTATTGAGTCGCTGTAATTTTCACTATAGCTTGAAAAATTTTAACTGCAAGTTAGAAACACTTGCACTTTTAGTAAAAATAAGTGAAATTGAGTTGGTGTTCGACAGTGGTCGCGCTATTAAAACTCTGAATTCAAAAATCGATATCTCGAAATCCATTAGAATTAATTGATTGTAGCGATTGGGGTTTTTTTCAAAAACTTTCTTAACATTTCTGCAGACAGTATGTCAAAATCTTTAAAAAGTAAATGGACGGCTTTTTTTAAATTTTTGAATGGAAAGAAAACAAGCCTATCGAATTTTTCTCATTTAAACATCTTGTAAAAGATCCGAACTTCAAATTAAAAAAAGTTTCAATATCTAAAGTGGTTCTTGAGTTATCGCGTGTTATGTTTTAAAAAGTTGTTTTTAAATCATCTTGATTACTGACGTTTTCTCGTTATAAAAAAGTGGACACCTTAACGATATCCATATAATTCCATTTCAGATGCTCAGAAACATATCTAATAATTTTATCTAGTTATTTTTTCAAAAAAAGTATTTTAATAATAAGCTGTTTGCTATCGTGATTTTACTTTACTCGATAGGGAAAGGCGTACCGGAGAAATGTGGCAACGCCGCAACAGCACACCGTCGTATTTCTCTCACTCCGACTTATTAAGATCTCTATGCGATTTAGATGGAGTATTACTTTCACACGTACATGTAAATACCGACCCAAAAGTATCAGTTACCAGCACGGTATATAGAAAACAAAAGTTAAAATAATGGGGGGAATATGTAAAAAAGAAGGAAAAATTAATCGGCCTTGCCCTCAACTACGGTTACGAGTTGTTGAGGACATGACGATTAATGATTAATGTTTCCTTCTTTTGTATAGAAAACTATATTTTGAAATAAATTCCGAAATATAGACTATATCGTCAAGTTTTGAAAAATTTCTTCAATAAGGTACATACATATGTTCTTTTTTATTAGGTAAGTTTAGCTATGGCAGCTGTTGTTGCTGTCGTTTTATATCGAATGTCTATGTTGGTAGCTTTAAAGGTCCATTCTGACAAAGTGGATAACAGTTATGCCATATTATTCACCACAGTCACTGCTGCTTGTATCAACTTAATCAGCATTTTTATATTCAATTATGTAAGTCCATAGTAATCTTTAATAGAAAGGTGTGTGAATATTGAACATGTATTTTTTTGTAGATATATACATTTGTGGCACAATATCTCACAGAATTCGAACTTCTGAGAACACAGACTGAATTCGACGATTCTCTCACTTTAAAAATCTACTTGCTGCAGTTTGTGAACTACTACGCTTCTATTTTTTACATCGCTTTCTTTAAAGGTAAATTTATCGGTTCTCCCAAAGGATACAATAGAATTTTCGGATACAGACAAGAAGAGGTAAATTAGAAAAAATATTATTCTGCCTGAAAAAGAATACAGTTAACATATATTTTAGTGTGGACCAGGCGGTTGTCTAATGGAACTTTGTATTCAACTTGCAGTGATTATGGTTGGAAAACAAGCAATGAATACGGTGTTAGAAATGGTGTTTCCTTTATTTTTTAAATGGCTTAATACGTTAAAGGTAAGTACAAGATAAAAATAAAAACGATGACAATGTAGATTAATTTTATTTTCTATAGATCAAAACTGGACTTTCAAAAGATCAAATTTCGTGTAAAGGTTGTAGACCGCAGTGGGTAAAAGACTTCAAGTTAGTCGAGTGGGGCCCGAGAAGTCTCTTTCCCGAATATTTAGAGATGGGTATATAAGAAGAAATTGTTTATATGTTTTAATTACTGATATATTTATTTCTTCAGTTTTACAATATGGATTTGTCACTATTTTCGTGGCAGCATTTCCACTAGCGCCATTTTTTGCATTACTGAATAATGTTTTGGAAATGCGGTTGGATGCAAAGAAATTGCTCACGTACTATAGGCGACCAGTGTCTCAGAGGGTCAGAGATATTGGTGTTTGGTATAGGATTCTGGATTCAATTGGAAAACTATCCGTAATAACAAATGTAAGTACACAGTACAAGTTGATTTGGTTAATCAGTAAATAGTGTATATGTTTTTTCATAATATTGTGTGAATATCGCCAACTGAAAACCTTAAAAATTAAACTATCCATTTTATGCAGAATTGTACTGAGTTTAGAATTTACAGAGAAAAATTCTCAATGTTTCTTTATTTACTATCCAAATTATCATCTAGTCTCAGTGAACTCTGTTCAATGACATCAAAAATATGTCAGAAAATACGGAACGATACGGACTAGTGATGGTACTGATGCAAAAACAAATTATTGATCAAAAAATTTTAGCAAATCATGCAATTCATTTCATGCAAGTCATTTTTTTTGGCTTTTTCCTTCATTTAAATCTACCTGTTTTGTACTTTGTTCTTTTTGAAATCGATATATTTTTCAAGTCTTATGTCAAATTCAACATAAAGTTCAAATGATTTAAGCTTTAAGTCTTTGACTTAAATTATTTTACTGCAAGTCAAGTCGTTTTTGTAAAGACTTAAATCAATACGTTATTTAAGTATAGTGTAATAATATTATATAATTAATTATTTTTTAGGGATTCATTATAGCTTTCACGTCCGAATTTATACCCCAACTAGTATATAGAATGTCAGTGAGCAAAAATGGCAATCTGGAAGGATACGTGAACAACTCCCTATCCTATTTCGACACGTCCGACTTTCACGGCGACTCTAAACCCAGGAATACCGCCGTCGAACAGGTGTGCCGATATCCGGATTACAGGAATCCACCTTGGTCACCGGAGAAATACGAACTCAACGCCCTCTATTGGCACATTCTAGCGGCAAAACTCGTGTTTGTCGTGGTGTTCGAGAATCTGGTCGTGCTGCTTATGATTATCGTAAAATGGTGCATTCCGGATATGTCCAGTGAGTTAAGAGACAGGATAAGGAGAGAGGCCTACATTACCAACGAGATCATCATTAAACAAGAGACGATTAGAGCACAAAATGGATTTTTAAGTAATTATATTAACTATAGCTTTTATATTTTTTCAGATAAAAAACGGAGATTTAGTATATTAGTATGACATAAATCAGGAGTGATTGACGTATTCAGTTAGTTTCGGTCACTTCCTGTTTCACCAGAAATTACTACAATTTTATTCAGCAGTTCACAGCACAGCTTTTTAAGTTTTTAATGCCACTTTTCACCATTATATCACGGGTTTAAGTAAATAAAATTTAAATTAATTTCACAAGATAGCAATAAATTACTACAAAATGACACTTTAAACACTTTTCGATATTTTTTCAGTGAGGGCGGTTTAAATTTTGAAAGATTTTATAATTTTTGAAGATTCTGACTTTTGACATGAGAAAACTATTTCTGTTCTTGTTTGCGGTTGTTCTTAGCAACCGCTATAGCAGCGCCCTACAACGTATGCGCTCCAAAACAATTATGTTTTGGCGGCAAGCCGAGCATTCCAATCTAAACTTGTTTCCGTTATCTATGAATGTCATATTCTTTCCTGTTGTTAAAGTAATAATATTTTCCGGTAACTATTATCACCCTTTCCGGAGCATTAAACTAAAAATAAATTATGTGCTTCTTTAACATTTTAAAACAACAAAAAACATTACGTTAATTAAAATTCTATGAATTACAATCTATTAAATAATAATGAAAACGAAGTTATATTACCATAGAAACGCGTTTTAATTTTTAGGACTTGAGAGTTTCCTCATCACGAATAGGAACGTTCTCTCCAGGGGGGTGACAGTGAAATAGGAAAATTGGAAACAGTCATTAATGTCATTCTTGTCATTCTCCTCACGACAAGTATGGCCGCCTAGACAAGGACAGCATTGTTTTTGTCTAACTATTGTCTAACTTCACAGTTTAGAATTGACAGATTTCAGTTTCAGAGACAACTTCAGATTTGTTCTAGAACAAATTCGAAAATATTCGACGCCATTTTAATTCATTCCGTTTAGTTTCGTTTTGGAAGTTCAATTTAATATTTCGGCTGAAATTTATAAATATAAAGGTAATAAAGTATATAAAATATATATTACATGAAGAATCCTGGAGAAAATGACGTTTCTGCAGTAGTAGGTATGTCCCATGTATATGAAAAATAGGTAGTAAATAAACACTGTTTTTACATTTTTAGATGCAAGAAAATGGTGTTATAATCTCTTTGATCGGCGATTTTTTTGAAAATGGAAACAATTTACAGCAAGGTAAGATCATTTTTAACTATTGCCAACATTAGTTATCTCCAGTATGTGCGATTTATTGTCAATAATGCAATAAATCGGACTGATAATCTGATTATATTATCCGACTAAAAGTCTCTTTTTGCTTCTTTTTGATTTATAAGCCAGGTCTCTTTGGGAATAATGGACGCTTTTTTAAACAGTATATTTATATTTTATACCTATTGATATTTTTACATTGTTAATTTTAGTATAAAAAATTTGTTTTTCTGTTTTCAGGTTTTTGTATAAGGCTCTCGTTTTCATGTTCCTGTGTCCGTTTTCTGTTCTTGAAGTCTGCGAATACGTGTGTTTATTTACAAATTACTGTAAGTCATGCTTATACCTTAACTAATTTACGTTAAAAGTACATATAATTAACTAATTGGTATTGAAACAATACAATCCCCTATATTTTTATATTTATTTAGTCACGTTGTTCCATATTTCAAATAAATATATGTGAATAAATTATTTTTTGGTTTTATTTATGAAAAGAAAAAATACAAAATACATTTGAACTGAAAGAGGGCCCGCCATTGAATAACCGGAAACGGAAATGAAAATTAAGCCATCATGTCCTTATCATGTCAACCTGTCAATTGGAAAATTAGTTCTCCAGACGACAACGAAGGCTTTCGGTGGCGTATCGTGTTTCCACGATTTAACACAGAGTTGACACTTCTTTCTAGTTAATTATTTTATGGTTCTCTCTATTACTAACCTAACCTAACACTATTTGTAATACATGAAAATTATGTTTCAGGGGAACCTAACAAGGTGGAAAAAATAAAAAATATCAACGAGGCTCCGTCGACGCCAGAACAGTGGGATAGATTAATAAGTAAATCTTTATCTGGCAGTGAGTTTGATCTTCTGGTTCACGGGGAAGGTAATAATAGTGCACAGGGAACAGTTCACACACCCAGCTCAATATAACCCTGACGTTCCTATGCGAGTCTAGTCACGAAAGATCTGATTTTTACTAGGTTGATATTATTCTAGTAGATCTGATAAATTAGATTTTATATTTATATATTATATGGAGAATTTATTCTATTGATAATAATGTTTTATTATATATATCTACAATATGCTTTTATTAAATAATGTTGATTTACTCATACTTGTGATAATTCATGCATCCTATTTTATTTTAAATTTAAAAAAACTACGCTGATATTTATAGGTTGTATAATTTTGTTAAATATTAAATAAATATTTGTAAAGCAATTTTTAAAACTAAAAGCGTTGTTAGTTGACTAAAGTCTATCCGACGAATCAGGTAAGATTTCGATTGACGACAGCCAAAAATGATAAAATATATAATGTGGTTGTTGAGTAAAATGACAGACAACTGTCTCTGTTTGGACACTCCGGACTCGTTGGACAGACTGTATTATGTTATACTTTATATTTTTTTTCTGAATCTCTAAACACAAATTATATGTCAAGATTTTATCTGATTATACTCTATTTTGTTATACAGGATATGCCTAAAAGTTCCCAACGAATGGGAAAATTTTATATTATTGAGGGTTTAAAAAAGTTCACGTAGAATTTTTTCAGCAAATTGCATAAATCAAGTCAATTTTTTTTATTATTAGAAATGCTGAAGAAATTTCGTTTAATTTTTTCCCAATAAGTCAGTAATAAAAAAATACCACTTGTTGCGGACTTTGTGGCGCACTTTGTATAATGTTTTATTATATTAATATGCTTTTATTAAATAATGCTCATTTTTTCATAATTATTGTGATAATTTCATGTTTCTTAGGCTACTATTACACTATCAAATTTCTTTGTCAAAGATTTTAGCTTGTCAAAGAATTTGACACAGTAATATGTGTGATTTTATAAAATATTGTATATTAACACTGTCAAATTTTTCATCAAATATATTTTATAAAAGATCTGTGACAAAGAAATTTGATAGTGTAATAGCGGCCTTATATTGTTAAAAATTAAGAAAAAAGCTACACTGATATTTTTAGGTTGTATGAGCTTGTGAAATATTTGTAATTTATACAGGATGGGTCTTAAATATTATTTTTCCTTCTACGCTTAAATATATGCACGTCTACGAGGGTTTACCACAAAAAAATTAGCACAATTATTGTTAAAACTATAATACCGTATGATCAATCAAAACGGTATCAACTTACCTAGAAATAACGCTCGATGACATTTTATGTGTAAAATTATGATCGTTTCCATCGATCGTACTTTGTCTATCCAAATAAAAAATAGGTTATTTTTTATTCTTGTGCTGTATATATAAAACGCTAGCAAATGTTTTTAAACACTTAGTTGAGACTGTGTTATACCAAAAAGAACTTATTTTTTGAATCTCCTTTAAAATATAAATTTATATTTATAAAATAAAAAATTATATCTCGATCATATACTGTATTATCGAAAAAATAAACTGCATCAAAATCACCAAATAAACCTTTGGAATCACAATCTCTGATCGATTTTTCATCAATTTTTAATAGATAATATATAAAAGGAGTTGTCCCAACCGGAATTATCTGCGATTGGTTTTTCTAAGACGACTATGACGCTTTTTTTTATTGTATGGTATTTTACAACGAGGTTGAATAAAAACAATTTGCGTGTTTGAAGGTTATTTTTTGAGACAGTGATTTATTTTTAAATACCGTATGATCGAATAAAAACGGCGTCAGCGATGGCTATGAAATGAAGATCGCTGTCATTTTATATGTAAAATTATATTGGAAATGTCATCGATCGTCATTTCCAAGCCAACTGGACGCCATTTTTTTTCGATCATATGGTATTCTATATATGGAATATTTGCTTTGTTATATTGTTGTATTTATCATAAAATGCTATTTTTAAAAAAAATATATTATTAATGGAATGATTTTTCATATTTGTGATAAATCATGCCTTTTATATTGTTCTAAGTTGTGTGAAAGGCTGTGTTGATATTTTTAGGTTGTACAGGGTGTGCTAAAAAGTTGTTCAAATGAGAATTTTTTTATTAAGCTTTAGAAAAAGTATGTGAAATTTCAATGAACTTAGGTGATAATATCCAAGTCATAGAAAAGTTGTTCAATATTTGATTTTACGTCCATGTGCCAAGTTTCATAAATATACGGGGGCTTTCGAAAAATATCAACCATTTTGGAAGTTTTACAAAAAATCGTTTTTGGTTAAAAAATTTTCTGTAAATAATTGAAAAAATAAAAAAATAAAAACGCTTGTGTCATAATATATGTGGACGATTTTTGTAATTTGCCTTGATGACATTTCTTAGTTTAGTAGATAAATTTTATTAATAAATAAAATTTATATTTTTGGCACACCCTGTGTTTTATAAAAGGATTCTAAATCTTTTATATATTATTTGAGACTATGTTATATGTTTTTTTGAATCTTCTAATAAAAATTAACCGTGTTACCATTCTACCTTTGACAAAAACATTATGAGAGTTTGAACATAAATGAAATAAATTTACTAGCCTGTTTTAAAATTGTTTTTTATTTACCCTAGAGTAACGTAATACTTATGTGTATTTCAAAGATGACATTTAATTTTACCAAATTTACATACTAATACATTTTTTACTCTTATCACTCATATTTTGCATATATTATGAGACATATACAAACACTTATAGATAGACCTATTGCTAGGAAATACTTTTAGTTTTATTAAATTTATCTAAAATATATAAAATACTCAAAATCAACATTAACAAAAATAAAACATATATTTATTTAACCATCATAAATTGCAATCTATTGCCTATTAGCAGCCTGTAAAATTCTTAAAATATATAAAAAGAGATTAATGATATCTAAATATAGATTGATAGTAGCCAGTATATATTCCTCTGCAGATAAGGTTTCCATGATCAATTTGGTATCGCAAATAATAAAGACGCAAAACAGTAAAGCTCCTCCAAGTCCAATGAACAATTCAAAGATAGGTGATTGAATAAATATCTGCATAAACCCTCCAACAATTAAAATTAGGAGACCAGCAAATAAGCTATAAAACAAAGGTCAATTTTTTTATTGTAAATTAATAAAATATATAATATTTACCCTGAATACCAAGAAGAAAAATCACGTTTACTCTGGAATGTATAAACAGTGAGACCACCCAAAACCAAAAAGGTCAGAAGTAATGCTTCCAAAACTATAGTTTTAGAATAAAATGTCACTATTACTCCAATTGTATAAGCCTGAATTGCAGTCTGAAATTGATATTAAAACTATGTATGTTTATAGAAAACACTAAAGTATAAAATTTATTTGAATTATACTCACAAATGCTGTCAGAAGAATAAAATTGGTAGGCGATTCCTTTCTCTTTATGTGAAGTGGTATTAGCACCGCAATACTTCCAATGAAACTAAAGAGCATAGGCCAGTCACTACAAACAAAAGGAACAAGTATATTAAACGTTAATGTATCCTTTCAAAAACAAAACTTACTTTTTCTGGACAAACTCCTTAATAGGCGGTGTAAACATAAACAGAGCAGCAATAATTACAGTCAAAAATATTTGCATGGTAAGTAAACCATACACTTTTCGAAGAAAGGCCAAACGAATAGCTTTACCAGCTTGAGCTACATTATTTCTGTATGCAAAATCGTTTTCAATATTCTCGTCGTATTCCTTACCGCCCTGTTCTACATCTTCAAGGATCAAAGGGACTGTTTGTGACATTTTTGTGTTTAACTAAAAAAAAACATGTATGCCCATTGTTTAATGTTGAGAAATAAATACAGTTAATATAGTGACAATTATATATTATATTAGGTATAACATGTTAAATAAATAAGATCGTCTACATTTATTATTAATTTTCTTACCTTATGATTAAATTGCCGTAGCTGAAAACGACTTTCACTAATCAGAAAAATTTTTCCTTGGAAAATATTTGTCAAATCAAAACGTCAAACGTTAAGTCAATAACAACACTTTTATAATCAGCTGATTACTGTCAATTGTCAATCGTAAATATGATATATCTGTATCATAGATGTAGAGGTTTGTTAGCCAATTATATATGATCAATCTTTAAACAATATATATGATCAAGCATTATTACATATCTCGTGTTGATATTATTGTGGATATTATGTTATTATATTCTCTGGTTATTATGTTCATTCAAGAAATGAACAGGATTCGGGGGATATGGGAGATGCAGGGAATTATGGACAGGAAATATAAATATTTATTTTATTATTCTTTTTACCTGTCTATTATTTTTATTGCTGTTTTAAGTTTTTATGAAGTTGAAAGGAGCTAGTTCTCTTGCAAGGTCTTGATATCCGGGCTTTTTCCGACATTTATTTTTGTTACTCAATAGGATTGTTACAAAAATATTAGATTATATCATGCTGAGGTAAGAAATAATCCAATCACTTTCACTTTATATATCAAAAATAAAAAGTGCATGTTTACGATTTGGATTCTTTCAGAAAATGTAAAATAAAAAACTATAGGTACCCGTACCTTTTGGAGCTCGTTTTCATTCTTATTAGTTTATTTTATCGTTTAGGAAATTCTTTATTACTCCTAGCACACAGGGCACACAGTTATATTTAGTCATCTAAAAAAATAAAACATAAAAGCCATATTCTTTGTTTCAAACAGTTTCAAAAATTTAAATTTAGAGATCATTCTTTGTGCCGGGCGACCAATGAAAATAACGGACATACACCAAATAAACCAATCACAAATGAACGTTCCTTCTTGACGGTTAACAATTCCTTTTATTTTAATAGGTGGTCCACATATGCACCGAAATCACTTTTCAAGTGACAATTCTTTGAGACAGAAAAAGAGAGGAATGTTCTTACAACTTAATCCGCACAGGTTAAAATTTAAAACGAACACATCATTTTCACGATTATAAAAGTTGATTCTGACAAGTTTTCGTTGATTTTGCGATTTTGTGTTTGAGTAGGTGCTGTGAAAAGGATATTCGCGTACTTTGAATTTGCAGAACTATCCAAATAATCTTTCCACGATTTAATTAGAAGTGCTTTTTTAAAGGTGAGATATTTTGAGACTCTTTTTTTTATTATAATATTGACAGAATTTGTTTGACAATTTTTTTAGAAGTTTTAAAAATTGTAGATGATTTAGGCGTTTTTATTAATATTTTTTAGCTTAATAAACTTTTGTAGTTATAAAATATGCTTGAAAGAGTTCATTTAATGAACTTAAACGCATATCAAAGTTACAGGTGTTAATGTGATTTAGATATAAATCTATTAGTATAGTGTCTTCTGTATGGATTGGTTATAATAAAAAATTGTATGTTTTTTACAGATTATGGCGGAAACTATTAGTCAAATTCCTTTGGCTCAAGAATGTAAGTAAATTTTAATTATTTATATGTATCTACTTTTATATGAACTGACAGTATCACATATGAAGGATGGTAATTAATTTTTAAATTCTTGCTTTAAAGTGCATTTATTATAAATAAATTAAAAACAATATAAATTATGCTTTTATATCTTCATCGTCAAATATTTTCTGGGGAGTTTCACTAAGAGCTTTTATTCGTTTATACATTTCTAAAGCTGACCACTTAATGGACCTGTAAAAAATAAATTAAAACAAATATTTTATGTAGGTATAAGATAAATAATTGTAATTGTACTTACAAAATACTCATTTTGTAAGACATGTTACTTAGAGCTAACCGTTTATACAGTGAATATTGGATTAAACTTTCTTGCTTTTCTGTTTTAAAGTAGTTTTTATATATTTCTATTAATGAAGTCAATGATATTATAATACCTAGAATATTACTTGGTTAAAGTATACAATTAATTCAAAATTATATTGCTACCTCTAATAGAATTTATAAATTGTAATTGGGCATCATCATTATGGTACATTTTCCGTATATCTTTGATATATGCGATGATATTCTCAAGTACTGGCATCCATGAACTTTCATAGTTTGGGTCCATGTTATAGACAGAAGATTTACTGTGAATTGAATTCTGAAAATAATATATTTAAATATACATTTTTAGTTTAAAAAACCATAACGGCAACTTCTAGTCTCTTTATATCTCTAATGCATATCGTACATTACTGAAATTTGAAAGGCAGTCCATCACTCTTATAAAGTGAATTGTAGGGCCACATCCATCAATAGTAGGATAGTCCATGTCTTTTAAATAAGTTAATGCATCTGCAACTGTCTTACTAATAGCATTATCGTTGTAAATAATCTAAATAATACATTTTATAAAGTTTATATATGCCCTGTAGTTTTTATAAAGACATACTCGCCGTTGAATAATATACCAATCGTTAATTATTTTTCGTTTCTTGTATTCTGATTCAGTAAGTATATTTTTCACAATCTGAAGATTTTTAACGTGATTTATGAATGAATAATAAATGCCATTGTCCTTGTGTTTCAGACATTTTTCCCATTTCCAACAGTTGCAGATGTGATCTACAAAATGACTGTGTTGAAACTTATAATATATACTTCATATAAAGAAATATACTTATTAAGGGAGGTAATTCAAAATAAATGTAAATATTTCCACAAACAGGGTGTCTAAAGTAGGACTTAAAGGTTGTTTTATTTAATTCCATATGATCTATATCAAAACCTGAAATTTTTTTGTACCATTACCATTAGTTTGATAACTGACTAAGTAATAAAACCTAATTGGGTCAGCAATGTATGTTTCAAGTTGCTGAGAAGATCCAAACTTATGGAGATTGTTTTAATACCAATCGAATTAAGTTTAGTAAGGTATACTTCGATTGTACTAGCTAATGGCGTCTCGATAGAACTGTCTGTGAAAAGTAATCCAACAGGTAGTTTCCAGTTACTTTCCAGCGATACCACCTGTAAATTACACTGAATTAGAAAATGAAATTTTTTAGTTGCTTTGTTTACCATCAGTGTTATTGCCTGTGTAGCCATTGTTCTGTTTTTCGTTAATGTTTTGTATTTACCGTTTTCATCATTTTCTCCATGATCAAACACTTCAGTGTATCCCCACTGTTTACCCTACAAGGATAAGAATTGTATTAAAGAATTATTAGTATGAATAATTCATAAATCAAAAGATATTTACTGCATAAGCCTCGCAGGTCAGGTTTAAATTCGATTCACAAATCAACAAATTACATAAGTGTGGATTATTTTTATGGTTGTTAGTTCTTTGGAGAATATTACTGAGAACTTCAAAGGGTTTAGGTAAAACTTGTCCAGGCAATTGTTCATTTTTTTCAGTTTCAATAATCGGTCTAAAACAAATTATTGTAATTGATGTAAGTTCAAACTAATTTTATAGATGTTTTATTCAAGTACAATAGGATCAGACGTTTCATGATTGAGTATGTTTTGTATGATAACAGAAAAATAATTCATAGGGAAAATTATATTAAAATAATAAATAATGGAATTTTTTTAACTATCAAACTCAAAGCTCTTAATTATAAATATTTTGGTAACACGGTATGTTTTTATTCTATAGATTAATATTTTTTATCAACAATGATATTAAGAGCTACTTGATTGTTAAATCATGATTCATTGTATAAACTTTTAAAAATTTAATTTGTTAAGATTAAGATCGGTTTATATTCAACATAAACTTACTCCATAATTTTTACTTCGATAATAGACAATTTTATTTCTTTGTGTTATCTATATCCAAGATAAAATGCCAATAAAACATTAATAACTTCCTTGGAATATCTGAAACTAAAAGGCTTTTAAAATATATATTATCCTTAAATTAATAATAAAGAATAAAGACACTAAAATATTTCACAAATAAAATGTTTTTGAAAGTTGGCATTTGAGGTTAGATTTTCTCAAAGTAGTTCAAATAATCCGGGAGTGGCTACGGATATGGCGACCGTGAAGCAAAGATCAACGAACTCGATTTTGACCGTTTATTTTTAAATCTGTATTTTGGCACGGTCGTTTCTTGCAGTTCAAAAAGTAATACGGGTACGGCCTCATTCTGCCTTATAAGGAAGCTTTGTCGTTGCCTACATGCAAGCAAGTTTTTTAATATCGTGGAGGTTTTGTCCGTCTTCCTACGCGTATACGGAATATGCGTTTTCATAACGGTTGTTTCTGCATTATATGTCAGCCTAAATCTATGTCGTGTTGAATATTGTTTGCTGACTAAATTTTCTAATACTTATTTATCTGAAGAATTTTAAGGTCCAAAAAAGTATTTTTTAGAGAATGACTGTTGTTTTATTGGTTTTGGCTCAATTATTGGCAATAATTTTTTATCTACGACCTATATTTTATACAGGGTGGCGCACCTCATTCGCCTCGGTTGACTATACGAAAACGGAAATATGTAGAAACAAAATATCTTACGGGTATATGTGGGAAGGCAATGTGCATAATTTAAAATTATTGTGAAATGTACAGGGTATGTCAGAACTAAAAGATCCACACCAAAGTTATATTTTTTCTTATGGAACACCCGGTATTTTATGCCATATTTGGATCCTTGGACACAATAAAATGCATTTATTATAAGGGTTAAATATGTTTACAGGCTTTGGTTTTTGAGATATTTAAAGATATTTAAATATGCATGCTGTAATAAAAAAATATTGTCCACACCCTGTACATTGCTTTTCAGAATTAATTCTTGTGCTGACTTCTCAACCAAAGATATAAACCTTACTAAAAAATCTCAATGGTCATATTTTATGAAACACCCTGTACAAATTTTGAAAAAATCTTAAAATATATAAAACAAAAAAATAAAATATGCGTGTTAAAGAGTTTTTCCGAAAAACTCACCGTTTTTTAAATAAAAAATATTCTAATATTTGAGGGGTGGTTTCACCCCTTTAGAATTCGAGTTTCGAAAAATCCCTTCTTATTGAACCTCTACACCCTAAAGTCAATCCGTTTTCCAAAAATCAGCTTTTTACGTCAAGCGATTTAAGCAGGATCGTGATTGACCAGATTTTTCGAAACACCCTGTATACATTTTTAAAAAATCTTAAAATATGTAAAAAACAAAATAAAATATACGTGTTTAAGCGGTTTTTTTTCGGAAACTTGACCGTTTTTTAAATAAAAAATATTGTAATATTTAATGAGGGTTGGTTCCCTTGGAACTGGAATTTCGAAAAATCCCTGCTTATCGAACCTCTACAACCTAGAATCAACCTGTATGCCAAAATTGAGCTTCTTACGTTGAGCGGTTTGAGCAGGATCGTGATTAAAAAATGAAATAAAATACCGGGTGTTCCATAAGAAATAATATAAGTTTGGTATGGATCTTAGTTCTGACCTGTACATTTGAAAATAATTTTAATTTATGCCCATTGCCTCTCTACATATACCCACAAAAAATTTTGTGCCACCCTGTATTACGAAGTTTCCTGATTACAATTCGAAGCATCCTGTATACGCCTTTGATTTTTCCGATCCATTCGACTCGGTTTTCCACCACCGCATCCACACGGCCCTCTTCGATCGCCGCGAATTCCCTTCTTTTGCGTCGTCCGTTCTGCGACCAGCGCCGCGACGCCATCCGCCCCAGCGTCGGCGTCCAGTCGGCACCCAACCCTCGACGCGAACCGCACGCTTTTCCGCAGGACAGGTTTTCCTGGAGGTGATTTCCGCCCTTGGCGATCATCCAAACCACTCTACGGCTACTTTTCCAGCATCGTTTAGGGTTTTCCAACGGGTTTTCTTTGATACTTGTGGCTATTTGGAGGGAGAAATAAAGAGAAGGCAAGATGTTGATCGGATTGGTCAGAGAGTCGGTAATGCAATGCTTCTGTCACACGTGCCGGGCACCGATACCAGCAGCTGCTGGTAAGTAAATTGATTTTGTAAGGAAAAAATAATAGGCAAGAAAAAATATTCGTTGCCAAAATACAACTATTGAATTCTTTTCGAAACATTTATTTGTACTACAACCATACTATCAGCGTAAATAATTTGATTTAATTATAGTCTTTGTATATGGTGTTAATTTCAACTTCTGAGAATATTGCTACTGAAATAGAAAAAGTAGTGATGAACAAATGTAAGACCATGACTCCTCCCTTGGCCTTGTTCTTGTACTTTATTAATATATTTTTACTAGAGGCACTTTCTGCATAAAAAAATACTCAAATTTGTCTAGTCGTCAAAAACACTTGACGTTTGAAGGGTATATCTTCGCCTGTCATCTGGAACAGAAAATAAAAATCAATTTAAAATCTGGATTGTTTGCGATAGAGCTTCAAGTTGAGGATAGGCTTTAAGTTTTCTTTACTAGTCAGTCGGTTTGCGTACAAATAAAGAGTCAGTGGAAAATGTGTTCCTCTGGGTCACAAATTACCTATAACAGATGCGAAAGAAAGCGAAAACTGCATCGGAAACCGTTCGGCAAACCCGACACGCCTATTGAGTGGTGTAAATACACCAGTCGTTTAGTCCGGAAACCCATGTTGTGTCGTCTTCGCTTGCTGGAGTGCCATAGTGCGTGGTTATATGTTTCTTTTTAAAAACGCGTGTAGGATTTTTGTTGAACTTTTGAACTGTTATTTCTAAGTTTTGGTAATTTGTATATCTTATTTAAAATGGGATATAAATGTGTTTATTTATAAGGAAAAAAAAGATATTTATAGTATAAAAAATTAATTTATTTAAAAAAATTTAATTAAAAATGTGACAAAATAGTTACCTTTCTATTGGTTCTATCCGTTCTATCGGACTTTTTTCGACAATATAAATCTTTATTTGTAAACTTTAATACATCAAATATTTTCCATCTAATAAATCATTTAATGATGTAAATAAGAGGAAATTTCTCACATGGATGGTCAAATTCTATAGTTTTCATTATATCAAACAGCCTCTGAGAAATGTTTTCAACTCAAAATGCGTTTAATTATGTTTGACTACATCATTAAAAAGGGTCTTCAAATACATCAATGTGATATTTGTCTAAAATTTGCAAAAGAATCCGAATCTCTGGATAACTCGAAATTATTTACCCATTTATTTTATTCGTTTTTTTAACTATATGTCTATAAAAAATGCAAATTGCGATAATCCGGATTTTTTATTAATCCGGATTAACCTGTGCTTTAATTGATCCGGATTATCGAGTCTTTACTGTATTTTATGCATTAAAGTTTACAAATAAAGATTTATATAGTCAAAAAAGTCCGATAGAACCAATAGAAAAGTAACTATTTTGTCACATCTTTAATTAAATTTTGTTAAAAAAATTATTTTTTTATACTATAAATATCTTTTTTTTCCTAATCTCCTGAACGAACTGATATAATATGACGAGCAATCTATTAAATTACTGCGAGATTATATGCCTCGATAACATATTGGTGCAGATTATTTTCACCCAAATTAATAATAACCCAAACTATACATTGATGCGGATTGTCTATGAACTCTTTCTGAAGGTCACAGAAACCTGAACGCGTAATTCGGTGTTCTTTCGCATCTGTTATAGGTAATTTGTGTCTGGGTTTTGAACTTTGGTTTTGAACCACCCAGTGATTCATAACGAAATATTTTTTTTTATTTTGATGGCAATATTCTTGGAAGATTACTGAACATTTCTGTTTTTTATAAAATAATATGTTTCGAACCGAAAAAAGTTTAACAAACATAGATCGTTGGTTGTTCGTGTAATCTTAGAGAATAAGTAGTTCTGTTGATAAAATGTTAGTTCTCTGTGATCGCACATAGCTGTAATGCAGAAATTATTTTTTCCTTAACTTTATGATTTTACAATTATTATAGAATTATAATGAGTATTTTACAGATTACGTTTTTTTTAAAAGAGTTTTTAAAAGAGTTTTTTAAAATAGCACAATGTTGTTTTTTGTATTTTATAAACTGTTTTAGGTATATTATTTTCGATATATTTTTCATTAAGATTTTATATATTTTGTAAATATTTAAATATGAAATTTAATTAATACAAAACTCTTTTATTACTTTTAATTTAGTTACTTTTAAATTTTAGGATTATGATAATTTTATCATAATCTTTCGGGGCATGATGTACATTTTATACATTTTTTAAAATATCGTTATGTGCCTATATCAGATCTACATATACTATAGTAAAATAATAACTATTACTCTGATAAGAACTGTGTAGTATAATGAAAATATTTTTTTTTAATATTTGTAGATAGAAAATCTATTTTGAAAATTACTATAAACTCTAAGACCATTATACAAGGTGAGTCTGAAGTGGGTTTTCGTTCTTGTAAATTTAATAGACAACCTACGTTACTATATGATCAAGAAATTATGTTTTTTTAACCAAAAACTAAAATCGAAATTTTCAAGATATTTTTTTCGCGAAAAAACCTCATAATCGTGTTTCTGGGGTCGAAATATACAACCCCTAAAAATATTTGCACTTATTTAAGACTCACCCTGTATAAGTTTTTGTATTACAATTAATTAAAATATTAAAGGGGTGTTAAAATATTTGAAATTAATTTTTTAGTTTCATCTTTAGATTATACGAACTAATTATATTAAAAAAATATTATGATCTTTATAAGTTAAACTTTTTAGAAGGAATGAAGAATAAAAAGGTTTTATATTTTATATAATGTAAATGCTGTAATCATTATATTTTCTTCTTTGATAAATGAGATTGAAAGATATAGATTAACTTTATTGTCGTCGTTGCTAGGCAATGTTCTCTTAAAAGACTTGCAAAAAAAATTAGGCAAGTACTTTTCATGTCACGTTGCCAGGGGTAATTGTTGGAGAACAAATGTTCGTCGTGCATATAAAATAGCTCAGCAAAATTGACAAATGCGGTAAACTGTAGCTGACTGGATTGATCGGTTAACCGGAATTTTTATGAAAATATTTTGCAGACTTTAGATTTATTTTTATATCACAGTCTCTCCTTCTTGTAGTTTACTTAAGAATGTTATTATAAGTATACTACTATACGTATAAAGTACTCTAAGACCGTTCTTTACTAAACTAAAATCATGCTACATAATATTAGATGAAAAAGAAAACTTTGCATAAAGCAATATCTTCATGTATTCAAGAACGTTTCAATGCTTATAAAAAAGCACTAACACTAAAAATGTACTAAACACTTACATATCTCTTTTTGGATGGTTTATAGACATGCATAAAAGATAAAAAAAAAGATAGTCAATATATATACACATTTATTTGTTTTCACTCCATAAGGCACCTTGTACAGACACTTTGTACAGTGTACTGAATACAGAGTTGTAATGAATATTTTACAGATTGTTTTTAAGTTAAAAAAGGTTCTTAATAGCACATGTCAGTCAGATTTTATATATTTTGTAAGCATTTAAGTATCAAATTTAATACATTATACTCTTTTGACTTTAGAAACTTCTAAATTTTCGGATTGATAACTTTATCATAATTTTTCAGTCTATGATGAACATTTTTTTTTATGTAACAAACTGCTTTTCAGTTTTTTATGATCAAATATGTTATGTTATATAATTTTTGTATCATAAGTAGTTTATACCGGGTGTGTTTTAGAAGTGGCACACGTCTATAACTTTTAATTTTTTAGATAAAAACGAGATTTGGTATGTTAGTATTTGACAAAAATTGAGATTGATTGACGTATGAATGAAATGACTATAACTTTTGATTTTTAAATGGTACTGTCGGTATTTTTTTACTTTATTTGATTGATAACGTTCTGAGTGGAATGACATATCATATGCCAACCTTAGACGTTTTCAATTAAAAAAAATAGTATTTTAAATTTTAATCTGGAGTGCCATGGCTGTGTCAAAACCACTAATTTTTCAAGGAGGCAAAATAGATTTGATCGTCTAATGTTTTTCGTGTCCTCCTGGCCGGTTAAAAGATGCCCAAATCATATTTTTAATCATAGTTCAATATTTTCAAATGGAGCGAGTTTGGCTCATTAGCATATTTGTACGGTATAATTTTTTAATCTCTGATATTACCATGGTAACGGCACTAAAAGGGATGCAATATTGCCACTTCCTGCATGATTTATATTTTTAATTATTCATACGAAAAAATGCCACCAACAAGTAAAAAATTGCTGAAAAGGAGTGACATATTCTGAAAATGTGTGAACGAAATACCTTGTATTGTAATGTGCAGAGATACTAGTTACGCCGTTATGATTAATTTATCTATTTGAGTGTAAAAACACTCCTTTTTATGTTTAATTAGAAATAACGACAAAGATACAAGCATAGATAAAAAATAACGAAGAAGAGCATACATTATTGTTGATATTCATAAAACGTGTGTTTTGAGTATAATATTGTTTTTACTCTATTTTAAGTGTCAGATAAAATTTTGAATCTACTTTAGGGATATCCTAATTTATATTACAGTTGGGGATTGGAGACTTTGGTGTTACAAAAGCAAAGTAAAACACTAATTCACCACAATACACCAAAACACTTTACTTTTGCACTCCTAATTTATAGATAGGTATACCGGGTGCGTCTCAAAAGTGGCTCACCCCTATAACTTTTTTATTTTTTCAGATAAAAAAAACGAGATTTGGTGTGTTAGTATATCACATAAATTAAGATTGATTGACGTATTCAATTGTTTTCGGTCACTTCCTGTTTCACCGGAAATGACTACAACTTTTGATTTTTAAATGGCACCCCCGGTATTTTTTTACTTTATTCGATAGAAAATAACACTCTGAATAGAATGACATAGCATGTGTCAATTTTTGACATTTTCGCACATGGTTTATTTGGTATTGTAACATGCGGTTCATAATGACAGTTTAACTCGAAATACCAAGTGTGTGGTACCAAATTATTCGTAAA